AGACCATACAGCCAGCCCTTCGGCCGCAAGATGGACGTCCTTCCTGCCATGGTGTAGTTCTCATCTACTCAAGCATGTCCACATTGCATCCGCGTTTAGCTTTACAAGTCAGCTATGCTGGGCGCGCTCTCTTTGCAAGCGTTCTGTCAATAGTGTGTGTGTGTACATGTGTATATATATATATATATATATATATATATATATAGATACATATAAGCGCTAATCAGTTAAGGGTTTCATCATGCTATTTCCAGTCATCGTAAAACTAAGCCCTAGGCCGCTACAGGTTGAGGGTGTCCCACTTGCCAAGTTCTCTGACACTTTGAGTCGCCGCCGAGGAATCTTCCGAAAGCTTGACCTGGACCCTTCAGCGAGGATTTCATCTAGATGAAATGGGAGTTCCGAAAACAGGGGACCCCAATATAGGATCCTAAATTTTCCTAAATAGTAGGATCCTCATTATGAGGACCCCCAAAATAAGGCACCCTTACTTTTCGGAAACTCCCAAATGATACCTGAAGAAGAAGACAAAAGCCTAGGGTTCCATACTACAAGTATACAATAACATCTACCAATACCCTAGTCTAGTTAGTACGGCCCCTTTATCTGCCTAACATACCCTGACCCCTGCACTTACATGGACACTACCAAACACCCAGTGGTAAGCTGCGGCGATTCCGAAACTAGCTATGCGGAGTTCCGTGGTAGTTGCGTCAAAGAGTGTACCAGACACCGAAAGTGTTCGTGCCATTGACCTTCTGACCTTCTTTTGCGGAGCGATCCGTTCTTCCCAGAACTTGCTCCCAGGGCCTTACCTACCACCGCTGACCCAGAACCTGTAGGGGTTCCTCGAATCTTCTCTGAATGCCGAACGAAAGAGTGATGGCGCGGGTTCTCAAGCAGAGTACCTTATCTAAGCGTTTTGCATGGCCAGGGTCCTTCTGCTTAGTGGCTTAGTGATTCAATGATATTGGAGTTCTTGTTTTCTGTTGCCGAGACGGTCTTCTTCGCCTGGCGCCGTCTGGTTGAAGCCAGGCGTCAGGTCCCGACCTCGGGCCGTTTCGAAGGGTCCTTTCATATGTTATTGTGATACAGATGCCATTGGGCCCTTTCTTAGTGTCCTACATATAAGATACAGGTAGTACTACTATGTAGGATGGGTTTGGGGCCCTTTATGAAGACATGACGAACTACCAACTACCATTTCTGGTAAAGCCTATGCGAGGTTGCCTTGAAGTTGGAGTCTTGCTTAAGGGCCCTTTATGATTGAGTATGTTATCTGAGTTGGGTCCCTTGGTTGTTGAGTGCATGTCTTGGGCATTGCTCATAGTTAGTCGACATCCTGTGGACTATGTGGAGCCTTGCCTGCCTTGTGCGAGTGTGAGCGTCGAAGTCTTGAGACGACGGTTGTCTGGTGAGCTGCCAGGGCGGGCAGGGACTTGCTCTTGAGGATTCCCACTCGGGAGTTTCTGAAAACTAGTACTATTTACTATTTAGGACGTTTAGGGTAGTATATTAGGCTCCCCTTATAATAAGGATCCTACTATCTACTATTTACTATTTAGGACTTTTAGGGTAGTATATTAGGGTCCCTTATGTTCTGGAAACTCCCACTCAAGTCGCTTCCAACAGATCCCAAGCCCTGAATCCGTCTCCGCTTGGGCCTGCGATGCGAGGGCCAAACCACACCCGAAGTTCTCATATCTTGGACCCCCGTATGTTATAGACCCTGTAATTCCGAAAAAGCTGTAGAACCCTGCTAGCCCTGTTAGAACCCGTATCAATCATTATGAGCACCTGATAACTGATATTTGCTTGCCCCTGTTTTGTTTGGAACCCTACTGTTTTTGGCACCTGAAGCTGCTCTCCCCGTGTCGTCCCAGGAGAAGAAAGCTGCCGACCTTCGTCGTGAGCATGCGCGCCTGGCCAAGGACGGACCCGGCAGTGAAATACTAGGACGTTATACGGGAGTTTCCGAAAATTAGGGGTACCTTATTTTGGGGTCCTTATAATAAGGATCCTACTATTTAGGGAACCATATTAGGGTCCCCTATTTTCGGAATCTCCCATACTAAGGATGGTTTTTAAGGGTCCAGGTTTTGGGTATAGGATTCAGGGTTTAGGGTTTAGGGTCAGAGAGATCGGCTGCGCTGGCTGGAGGGCGCAGCTTCGAAGACACACCAGGTCGTTAGAATAGTCATGAGTGCATATACATACATAAGTACGCATATTTATACACATACTATCACGCTGCCATATCTAAACGGTTCTTTTGGTTGGGACGGTTGGGACTTCAACCGCTGGGTCATCTTTGTGAGCCTGCAAGGACGAGGCGAAGAAGCGCATGATCCAAGCAGCCCCGTTCCGAGTGCTTTGGGGCTTCAAGGGTTTAGGGTTTGGGGCTTTAGGGGTTTAGGGTTTGGGGGTGTAGGGTTTAGGGCTTTAGGGTTTAGGGCTGTAGGGTTTTTTTGGGGGGAGGGTTTGCGTGGGGTTTAGGGCTTTGGGGTGGCAGTCACCTGCATTGTACTGAGAGCCAAACACCGAATCACGAAGGAATGCATGCTCCAAAGGAATCTTCTGATAGTCGTTGATGCTTCAAGGTATGCTTTGTCTGAAGAACATAGTGTAAAGTATGTTGTGGTCTATAGTATGATTTAGGCTAGATGCCAAGCTTTCTTGCACCGTTCGTGGCTTTCCTGTCTGGCTTCACAGAGGCTTCAAAGCCAGTCTTCCAACGCACTGAATCCACAGACTGCACAGAAAGTGCCCTGGCTTCCTTCAGCACTGCAGAGAAAAGCACCAAACTCAGAGCTACTTGCGCCAAGGTGTGACGTCACCCGAACAGGACATTGACATGGTTTTGCTGATCTTGTCTAATAAACTTGGACTCCGATTCCTTGTTGTCTAAATTCAACAAGGCATGCATCGTAAGATCACCACAAATGCCGCCACTTTTCCAATCCGAGACCCTTGCGCTGACTGGCGACCCAGACAAGATGGACCCCACTGCTCTGAAGGCACTGGCAGCACCTCGGGTTCTTAGCGTTGCCAGAGAGTGTGTCTAGGCGCCTCAGCACTACACCCCGCCGAGCCCAGCTGAGAGCCGAGACCGAGACTTTCTCAGTCAGTTTCCCACGTTACCTTGCAGCAAATCCGTCATGCTTTGTGCAGGTGGTCTTGCGGGCATGGCGAGAATGCATGCTGGAGTCCAGGTCTGAGAATGCCCGCCGCTCAGTAGACGGACCTCGGAGACAGCAGCAGTGGTATGCTGGGTGCTGGAGAGGACACTTAGACTGTCAGGAAGACAAGCGACCTCATTCGAAATTATGTGGGGGTTTCGATTTAGAGTTTAGGGTTCAAGGTTTAGGGTTTACCGTTCTCGTTGTCGTAGAGAGGGTATCTTCGCTGCAGCTCGAGGATATGCTGCAGCGAGCCTTCCAGCAAGTTCCTTTCATGTCATTGATACCCTGCTCAGAAGCAAACCCAAAGCCGCAAAAAGCTCAATGGCAGCATTTCGCACCATGGCAATGGGTGGTTTGGAATCGAACCCTGAGTTCTCTAAAGGTCTTATATCATTGCAGTGCTATTTCTCGTTACCGCGACCTTTCTTGAATGATTATAATGTTGCTGTTTTCTACAGGGGCAAGGACACCTTTAAATCAATGCAGGGTTATCTTTTGCTATGACCATATTGAAATGACTGCTATTTGCTGCTTGCAGCAGGGGGCAATGATGAGCCCTGCTTGGAGGTTCATGGGCGGTTATAAGTAGGGTCATAAGTAGGGAAACTATAGTTATAACCCATATTCGGGGACTTATATCTCCACTTATAACTACCCATATCATAGTACCATCATAGATCCCTGATAGTAACCCTTATAGACCCCTTGGGGACTTGGTCCTCTGGTTATAACCCATATTAACTCCACATATAGCTCCAATATCATAGTACCCTTATAGATCCCTTATAGTAACCCTTATAGACCCCTTTGGGGACTTATAACTACCCATGAACCTCCAAGTGCGATTCTCCCAGGCGCTGAAGTTTGAGCGCGCGCGTGCCGCGGAGAGTTTGGCAGCCCAGAGCCGGGCTCGAATCGGGATGATTTGAGGCTTTACTAAAAAATATTACTAGTAATACTAACAATAGTAAGACTAATAATACTAATAATAGAAACAGTATAAATAGTATTAATAATAATAATAACAATAATAACAATAATAACAATAATAATAAGAATAATAATAATAATAATAACAATAATAACAATAATAATAAGAATAATAATGATAATAATAATAAGAATAATAAGAATAAGAATAATAAGAATAATAATAATAATAATAGTAATAATAATAATAATAGTAATAATAATAATAAAATCACTGTGATGGTAATCTCTAAAATCGACAGAGGAAAAAAGTCTACTCCATCAGGATGCACTCGCCCAAAGCCCCGAATGTAAACCCGGCTTCCTGTCAGCGGCAACACCAATGCCGGAGAACTGGCTCGAATCCGATTAGTTAGACAATCAGTATTTGGGACGTAAGGGACAAAGAATTCCATGTTCCAAGGATCATTTTTCAGGCCCCTTACAGGGGTCCTCATACAAGCATCATGTCCTTTAGGGCGCTCATTGAGGATGTTGCATGTCGAACCCCTAAAGCGAGAGCCCAACCTTCGCGAAAACCATTTAAAGCTGTTTTGGCCCAGGGGAGAAGGACCGGAAAGTTCAAGCTCAACGTCGCTTTGCGATGCTTGCAGTGGAGGCCGCCTGAAAGCTTGTCGGACATGGGGCCCATGGGGGTCAGGGTTTAAGGGTCCAGAGTTGGAGTTTCGCATCCTGGGGACATGCTCCTCGATCGCAGCACTATGTTGCACCAGCCTGCATGCAGACGATGTGATGCAGAGCGGCTGGAAACACATGTTGCTGTGCATGCCTGGGCCCGTCCCTGCGATGTATGAAGCCATTTGTTAGTGCAGGTTCCTAGCTCAAGCCATGGAGGCCTCGCTGGGTGTTGCCGCTGCAAGCGGAAGCCTCTTGGGATCAGGGTTGTCCTCAAGTCACGAGGACATGGAGGACTTGATCTCAAAGCTTAGGGATGCATTGAGGAGTCCCGGTGACTTCCAGCAGTTTGTCCAAGGGCTCGTACCACAGGGGGTTCCATCAGACATCTTAAAATACATCGAGGCTGCAGTGCGGGATGTGCTTGGAGGCCAGGCTTACCTCAAGCTCGAAGGCTCAGCCAAGAAGCACACAAACATCGCAGGCTCAGACCACGACTACCACATCAGGATGCCGGATCCACGGTTGGAGCTTGTGACCCGCGACCAGATGGAGCAGATTCGTGGCATCCTCAATGCGAGTTCTCACTTGATTGGGAGTTCCAAACTGGAGGCCGACATGGGTCCCACAGCCCTCAAAGTTCGGTACCAGCATGGCAACATTTGCGGCTCGATTGACATCGTACCTTTCAAAAGTGACTATTTCGATGAGCGTGTGATCGTGGAGCCGGCGGACCAGGATTTCTTCAACAACATCCGTCGGCAGAATGCCGCCCGCACCTTGAAGTTTGTCGCTCACAAGTTAGAATGGGGCCAAAAGAGCTATGACCTGGAGCGATATGTCGTGGAGTGTGATCGGCTTTTTCCCCAGACCGACCCTCACGGATTGCAGCTCTTCAAGAAGGCGATGCAAAAGTACGAGCACCTTTGGCCGCATGATTGGCCTCAGGAGTTGCTCCGGCAGCTTCATTCGGACCGTTTCTGATGATGAGTGCAACATTTGCCCCACAGAAACGGAAGTCTTTCAAGGATGAGGATACCTTGCGGCATCTTCACTGAAAGCACGATGCGGTATGATCACACTCAGGAACTTGGCCGAAGAGCTTCGATGCAAAGGTGTGAAAACTGAACGGTGCTCGTCAGATGTGTACGCTACCTTCAGATTCACTACATGACTCACTACCGACAGCCACATCTCTAGTTTTAAGTGGAGGCTGGTGCAGACTGCATGACAAACAGCGGCTGCATATCGTAAACCCGCAGTTTGGCTTAAAGTGTCGCTTGGCACCTCACGCCAGCATCGGAGTCCACAGGCCATAGACCTCGCCGCGAAGATGCCACCTGGCTGGAACACACTTGCTGACTGCATCGCGCTAAACCCCAAGCCCCAAGGCCTCTAAGCGCAAAGCCCCAAACCTTCAACCCCAAAGAAACCCCAAAGCCCTTAAGAGCCGGCCAGCAGAGGCGTGCCTTCGCTGTCCTGGCCCTTGCCATGCTCGCCGGCGCCTCGCCGCTGCTCCGCGCAGCCCTCAGAGCTACCGGTTTGGGGTTTACTTGAAGGTTCATGGGACTATCCATGACCAAGTACGGTTCTGCTAGGACCTGGGACCACGAACCGTTCTACTCAGTCACCGAACTTTTGTGCCACACGTCGCGGTCTCCGGGAGGCCCTCTGAGCCCGACGCCGGCGCCAATATCACCGACGGAGCACTCAGCCGCCTGCTCGCCTTGCGTGCAGCGCCCTGGCATGGCGGTGTTACTGAACCCTGCTTTTTTGGCTTAAGAAGTTTTAGCGGGATTCCCGCGCTATGCACGCTTAGCAGCTAGCATTGCTGTCAACACAAGGGTCACGGAGGCACAAAATCCATGCTTAGCCGCCCGCTGCTACCCTGTGAGGCTGGGTTCTCAGGGCATCAACCTGCATCTCGCCAGGGGATTACGGGAGAGTTGGTTTAGGGCTTGGAGTTCAGGGTTTAGAAGGCAGCTGAAAGCGCTTTTGCTTGCCAGCGCAGTGAGGCTTGTTTGATTTGGGCATTGACATCTATGAATCTAGGCCCTCGTGCTGAGCGGGTTCCTGCCATCAGCCAGACAAGAAGGGCAGCAATCACAAGGGCCAGTTTTGAGACCTCCATCATCTGCGCGCGGTTTGAAGCTTTCACCAACTCCCTGGCAAGTTCCGCTTGAAACGCAATTAAGGCTGCTGAACTACCTTCTGCCGCTTGGTCTGTTTTCGGAAGAGTCTTAATAGCTCTGTGAGTTGTTGGAAAGACACCTGTGTTCCGTTGATCGATGCGAGAGTCAGGTGACTTCCACACCTGATTCAAGCGTTCACAGTGCTGGCAACGGTTATGTCCCAGAAGTCCCGCAAGCACCCCTCGAAGCTGCATGCTAGGTTCTGAACACGAAGCTCTTTGAATGAAAATCCAGGTACACTCTTCGCAACAGAAATTTCCAACCCAGACGATGTAAACCCCAACCGAACCTGCGCAAGGAACGCGGGGGTCGTGTTCCAATAATAGGGTTCATATTAAGGAATCCCTACCCCAAGAATCTTAAACCCCTCTTTTGGCCTCCCATCACGCAAGGAACGCGGGGGTCGTGACGAGCTGCTCCAAGCTTTGCAGCCACCTTCCCACCAAGGCGGAGCAGACGGCACGGGTGCCCAGATAAATCTTCGGGTTTCCGAAAATCAGGGCATCTCGTTTAGGCGTCCTTGAGTTAAGGATCCTGGTTAAAGGCCCCTCGTTTTCTGCAACTTGCATCTGGATAATGACCTCGGCAGTGGTGGATGTTTGGAGATGCCGGAGGCATTTGCCCAAAGCAAACATGTTCTTTGTTACAGAAAGGTACGCTGTGGTGGCCAGTGTTTCTCATGTAATTATTGTGTTTCTGCTATTAATGAGGATACAGGTCTGCATGCCTACCAACCTCCCTACCTTTCTACAGACGGAAAGTCGGAGATGCCAATGCACACACAGACACACGCACAGACACGGCGCCCGTGCACGCACACCACACGATGAAGCTTAGCAGGTATTTATATGAATGTATGTGCGGAGCCTGTTGAGCTGTGTTGCGAAGCTTTCCCGAACTCAGATCTGCAGCATCGGCTGTGACCTGGCCGGAATCAAGGAGCCCACCGACTTCTGAGGGCTCTTCGATTCCACGATTTGGTTTTGGCTTTAGGACTCTGGGGTTCTAGGGCGCGTTTAGGGGACGGCCTGTCATGGCTCTTGCACACTAGAGCTGTCGGAGGCTCGGATCTCTTTCCAAGTTAGAGCCTAAAGGTTGGCCCCAGGGGCTTTCGGGCTTGAGGTTTTGAGTTTCCAGGTCCTGTACCATACTGCCATTTAGCGGTTGTTTCAAGGTCTTTGATTTTCGGCTGCTGTCGCATCTGCACAGCATCGTCAAAGGACAAAGTGTTTGAAGTTGAGTCAGAACAGTTTCACTCTGTTCCGAAACAGTATGAGCAATGAGCACACTCCGCCAAGGTTTCTTCGTACCAGCCACTTTAGATGTTGTTGCCCTTGCTTGATGGAGGTGCTGTAAGTTGTCGCGAGGCCGTCCCCAGAGCATGCGAAGGTGACTGATCTATTGGGTGGTCTGTGGTGTTGGGTTCTTACACTGTTTATTTCGGATTACTGATGTTGGTTGTTTCCGTTCTCATGGCCCTCGCATCTTCTTGTAACAGTCGTGGTCAGTGGACCTTGAATCGCTGCCTGCCCAGTGCAAGTGCGCGAGTCGACACCTGAACCCTAACCTTAAACCCAACCCTTCTCCCAAAGCCTGAAGGAGTTCGTGAACATCCTGAACCACACCGACTTGGATCCCATCTACTTCTGCGAGGCGCAAACGCTCCTCTCAGTAGTACGCCCCGTAGCCTTTAATTTCTTTTGTGTAATATCCCAAAGGTTACCTTGGAGCTCCCCGGACCCTAGGATGCCAGACAAGTAAAAAAACTCCAATCGGTTTGGCCTTGGCCTGGGGTTCGATAAAGTCCTTGGGGGAGGGAGGGGGGGGGGGGGGCGGGAGTGCGGTTTCAAAAGTCTGGGTTTCGAGTTTAGGGCTTAGGGTTCGGGTAACAGAGGGGAATGCTCTTCCTCCGGTTTCCTAGATGTTACATGAGTAAACTAGAATATACCCCGAAGACCTATTCTAATGATCTGGAGTCCTGTACCGTATGGAGGTTTCCTTCAGCGTCGGGGGTAACTTCTTCGGGATCCTTGCAATCAGGATCCTGGCATCAAACGTCCGAGTCCTGGGCTCCACGATTCTGTTCGCAACCCGGAAGCTTTAAACCTCAACAACCTAAAGCCCAAGCCAAGGAATATCCTTGAAATCCTGGAAACCCCCACCAACTGCTAAAGACTGTCTTGACCTCCTAAAGACTGCATTGAACCTCCTCAGCACAAAACTGACGAAACTGAACTATTGTTTAATCGCTTTGCCGGAAAAAAAGCGCTGGCGTCCGTCTAGAAAGAGTTCTGCTCCCTTCAGCCGTCCGCTAAAGTCCGCTTTTGTCAGCTCTTGACTCTCTGCCCCGCCGGCCCGGACGACGCATCGGCGCGCATTCTGGACATCAAGGCCCGATCGGATCGGGTGGTTTGGAGTTTTTTGGCGGGGGAGGCGTCCCTAAACCGAGTGTAGGGAGTGCAGAGGATCTTTGAGGTTTTACTGTTCAGGGCTTAGAGGCCTGGAAAGCCATGGACTTCTAAATAAGCCCCAGTTTCTCTAGTCACTGGTAGGGTGGGCTAGCGAGCAGGTTTACGCCATGGGGATCACCCGTCCGAACCCAAATCCCCAAAATCAAATTCAACACATCCTAAAGCCCTTGGTGGAGCTCTTCGAAGCGGATGCCCTCCTTGAGCTCCCCAGATTTCAGTAAAGCTCAGCAGTCTACTAGGTAACCTTTGACCTCGTCGGGGTATGGAATTATGATCCCAATAATATCAGTATAGGGTTTGACGTGTTGTTCCTTCGTTCACCAAGAATACCGGACAAGTAAGACAAGCCCTCTAGTCTAGACTCTAGTACCCTTATAGATCCCTGATAGTCGCCTTTATAGACCCCTTTACATCAACCCCTATTCCCAATTATTACGGCCCCCTTTTTCTTCAGAGCAGAGACCCTCGCCCGAGGCTGCGCCTGCGACCATCTCCAAAGGCGACACCGTGAGGATCCAAAAAGTAGATCCCTTAATGTGGGTTCCTTTAAAGGTCCCTTTAAGGGATCTATAGGGTTTTAGGGTTTAGGGTAGATCCCTGAATGGGGTTCCTATGAAGTACCCTTAGTAGTATAGGGCTCCAAACTAGGGGATCTACTTCCCCTTATAGATCCCTAAACCCTAAACCCTAAAGGATCCCTTAAAGAAGCATGATCCTCCAAACGGGGGTTTGGGAAGGCGACACCGTGAAGCTGCTCGCGGACGTGAACGCACCTGGGATCCGATGGGAACTTGGGGGTTCAGGGGGAGTTCTAAGCGGGATTCTGGGGTCCCTTTACGGGTTCTTTTGGGTTTGGGAGTGGCTATAAGGGGGGCTATAGGTCCCCTGATATGGGTTATAGCTATAGTTACCCTACGTATAACCCCTCTGAAAAACTCCCCATGAACCTCCATGAAGAGGGCGAACCGGGGAGTACATGCTGGCAAAGAGCTCCGCTGAGACCATTGTAACGCTAATGAAAAGGATATGTTGCTGACGACTGCGATTTTTCAGTGAATGTTGCTTAAACCTCAAAGACTTGGCATTGCAATGAGCAGCCCTGAACCCCAGGCCCAAGGCTCAAGACCCTAAAACCCTTGGGATCTTGCTCCATGGGCCTCAGGATGGTCGGGCTTGGGGCCTAGACGGCTTTCTGGGAGGTGCTGTGTAAAATCCTAGTTGGATGAACACAGGCAGTGGGCAGGTAAGCGGGAAGTTCTCATCTGCAGCATCTGCCTGGTCTGACTCAGGTGACGAAGGCGCAGCTTGGATTGCAGCTAGTGGCTGGGGGGGAGGGGCTCTTTAATTGACTTGCGCACAAGGGATCCGAAACGCACCCTGCACTCAAAGACCCCGTAGAGCCCTAGGCCCCTAGAGCCTTGAACCTCCTGGTGTCCGAGTGTGAGCGCCGAAACCTCCTGGATCCCTGCACAGTACGAGTAGCGGAAGTTCCACGCCGACTACGCCCGATAAACCTCGCCTTGGTTGTCGGAGTTGCGAGAGTGCAAACCTCCTGAACCCCAAACCGGCCCCTATTGCCGTATATTAGCCCTAGTATAACCTTAGTATAACCTATTCTAACCCCATTATGAATGAGCCCAAACTCCTTAAATCGCCAGAGGCTCGGTGTGGGCGAGTTCCGCCTCGCAGTGCACGGGCCTGTCACTTCGCACATCTCGGATGGCTTTCTCTTGCCGGAGGCGGGGAGACTCAAGAAGCCTCGGCGGTTTTTACTTTGGGGTTCAAGGGCTGGGTATAAGGGTTATTATAAGGGATCTATAAGGGTACTATAATACTCGAGGTTCAAGGGCTGCCAATGTTAGGCTTTGAGGTTTCGGGCTTTGGGCGGTAGAGGGCTCCTCATGGCATTGCTCTCTGTTGTCCACTGCATGCCCACGTATGCATGCTTCGATGCGTCGCTTTCAAGCCCGTGTTCTTTCTGCTCGCTCCGCCCCTCGGTTTCTTCAAGTCACGGCCCTGTGGCCCTATCACTTCAAGCCGTCGCAATTCAGGAACATACCCTGAATCATCTCAGGGTTCGTGTCAGAATTTACGGTGTCAGGTTTCGTTGAGTCATACATCCCGTTCAATCTACCCTTATAGAACCCCAAGGCCCCAAAGAAACAAACCTAAGGGTTTCAAAATTTCCCCCCTAAGCCCCAAAGAAGCCAACCTAAGGGTTTCCTGAGCATCTGCCCAGGGTCTCACAGAGGGCGCCATCCAACTGGGAGCTGAGCTGAAGGCTCGGACATGCCAGCTACTGGGGCTTCCTTCCTTCCAACTATAGTTCTAGATATCCCCAAACCCTATTGTAATTACGAAGGCCCAACATTACTTCCTTAGAGCTTCAGAAAAACTTAGCTAGTCGGCCTTAATTGTGTTCTTACGGGTCCTATAGAGTTTGCTAGGGGTTTGGAGGCGATTTCAACTTAGCAGGTGTACACAAAGACGCGTCTAGTACTCTCATCGAGTCGAGGAAATTATCCTATCACCTGGCTCGTAGCCTACCTACGAAGTCCCTCGGCCCTTGAAGTCGTGTGGAGGACTTGCTTTTGTGTTGGCTTTCGGGCTTCGGGTGTTGGGGAGCTGAATCTCCTGAGTCATGAGTGTGGATCCGCTCTTCTACCATTAGAAACGCCATGCCTCAGGGCTCCCCATGACAGGCATGGTACAACAAATGCCCAAACCCCAAGCTAACATAAAGTTCCCTCTGCTGTTTTTGCAAGACTATATGCCTTACTCCGAAGCTTAAGGCAAGATAAACGCTCTAATGAAGGTCCCTATCTTCTTTGATTCCCTTTGGCCAGGTGATGGATGACACCTCCGGCGACGAGCCCGTGATCTGGCGTCCAGGCAGGGCCTCAAGAGCCCAGCTCTCTGGGCGTAAAGGGAACTCCAGAAAGTTGGAATATGGATTAGTGGTAGGATCCCTTATAATTTACCTGATAGGGGCTACGATAATCGGCTTCTACTGTGAGGCATCCTAGTAGTAGAGTAGGTAACCTTTAACCTTTTGAGGGTAGTATAGTCCCTATTTAATCCCTATATAACCGAAAAGGTTAACCTGTAGTTCCCCATGATACCCGACATTTCTGTTAGGATACCAGCCGAAGGCGCAGCATGTAGAAGTACAGTTTTACTCCAAGTTTAAGTTAAGGCTGGGTTGTAGAAGAAACCTGAGTGCAAGGGGGGCTCAATGAAGAGCGGAACAGCCAGTAATGCTGCCCCATTGCAGCGCAGTTGTACAGAATCATAGTACAATATCTCCCCAAATCCTCTTCTACTTCTGAAAAGAGTGCCCGGATGGTCGGCGCAATGGTTCTTGGGGCAGTGGATTTCTTCAAGCGGCCCTGAAGACGTTTACTGGGACGACTAGTAATGAGATCTGAGTGCAGTCCCTATATGCCTAAAGTACAATGTTACCCCAAACCCTGCTAGGAACGACCGTCCGTAAGCTTCTGATGCTCGGCTTTTCTTCCTCCACCCGGCCCAACAAGTCGATTTTGAAAAAGTGCTTCACATCTCCCCCGATCTCTAAAAGTAAATTTATAAATTCAAAGAAGAAGCAAAATCATAGTAGTGAGAGGGCCAACTGTAATCATTTGTTCATGTTTAGTAGCAGCCCGGATGCCCCAGCCTCGAAGTTGCTTTCGGAGGCTTTTTAAAAACCGTAGTGCATAGGTTGTTTAAAAAACCTTGCTTTCGGAGGCACCTACACCTTTGACATCCACCTCTGCCAGGGCGAGTGCGGCCGGGAGCTCAGCGACTCGGGCCTTTCCAGAGTAGTCGTCGTCGCGGTCGTGGTCGTTGTGGTGGTGGTGGTAGTGGCAGTAGTAGTAGTAGTAGTAGTAGTAGTAGTAGTAGTAGTAGTAGTAGTAGTAGTAGTAGATTAGTAGTGGTGGCAGTAAGCAGCACTAGTAGTAGAATATGAGTAGTCATGATTCCGAGATGCAAAATCCAGTGTCGCGGAAATTGCCCACCTTGCCAACCACAAGTTGACGTACGTACGTACATACAGACATGTGTATGTATATATATATATATATCTACAGACATATTATGAATTACACGACAAGTGAGAGTCAGCGGATGCAAGACTCCACCTTCAGCCTTGTCAAGAGCACCTCGCTTCATTAAACACTCAGAAACGACCCTGGCAAAAGTCTCATGGAATCTCATAGGAACCCTTGAAGAAGTTTCTTACATCTTAAGCCCCAAGTCCGAGATCGTCCTAGCCGAGAGAGAGAATTCCTCTCGGATGATTCCGAGGCTCGAAGCATCCGCACTCAAAGGCTGCGAACCGAAGTCGGGCTTGAGCGCTTCATAATTCGAATGGTTGTTTTCGAGTTCTGGGTACAGTACATTGCAGTTATAAGAAGTAACTCGGTATTCAGGCTTCTATATTAGGGCTTGGGAGGTGTAAGAGTCTAGGCGTTGAGGCTTCGGGGTTTAAGGCCGTTTGATGTGTTGTGGCTTCAGGCTGTCAGTGTTGAGGGTTTTGCCTTTCCGGATGTTGGCTTGGCTAGGATGACCCGAGGAAGATTGGACACAAGGACGGAGGCGTCCTTCATCGAGGAATGGCAAGGGCTTCGCTAGAGATGCTTAGCACTTCGACTTCGGCAGGTATGAGTGTTCGGTACGCTGAGGAGTCGGAGAAAAATGGAGTGAACAAAATCTGTCTGCAAAGCCGGCGCATCCTACATCCACTAGAAGCCTATATCATCGCTGCTTCTATTTTTACGGGTTTCCAGTACTGTTATAGTACAACATGCCCCAAAGCCCTATTCTTACCATTAAGGCCGGCAACACTACATCCTAAACCCTATACCCGAAACCCTACTCTAACCATTAAGGCCTACAAAACTACATCCTAAAGCCTAAACCCTACTCTAACCATTAAGGCCTACAGAACTACATCCTGAAGCCTAAACCCTATACCCTATTCTCACCATTAAGGTCCAAAATTACATCCTCAATCCTAAGCCCTATTCTAACGATTAAGGCCTCTAGATCGCTGCTCTCGATCAGGACTTCGGCATGGCCACCGGCAACTTCACTCTGAAGGACGGGAGAAGATAGGTTTCTGAGGGGCCTAAATAATGACCTATGCTATTTTGGGGTGTAGGGTTTATCCTGTTTTGGGGGGGTTCCTGATTATACTTATGGTATAATTAACATATCCGCAAAGCCATTCAGCCTGGGTCCGAAACATGAATAAGCACGAGGCTGAAGACAGGCCGTCCTAAATCTCAAACCTTAGGCGTAGTTCTGGAAATTAGAGCCTGTTTACAAAGGGTGCCATACTTTTAGGGGGAGCTAGAACCGTACTTTGATTTAGAGAACTTCCCGTATGGGCCGCCTTCAGCCACGAAAGGTCGCGCGAGGAGTTCTTGCAAACATGGCCTATATAGGTGTTGGCCGACTTCCCAAGCCCGGATGCAAAAGGGTTGTAGGCCCCGTGATCCTGACAGAATCACTAAAGGCATTAGAGCCCAAGCATTACATCGGGTTGCTCCCATGGAGCTCGAGGGCTGACTGGACACACGGGCTTAGCTTAGCGTGGCACCGGTATCCTACTTAGAGATCCCACCTCATCGATCAGCACATTACAGAGGTAGTACACTGCAGAGGGTTGCCTTCAAGATGGTCTCACGTACCTTCTTTTTGCGGAAGATTTCTGCTCTTCTTGTAGGGCAATCTTACATCCAGTCTTTCGAAGGATGCACTCGTGGTGGTGTGAGTGGCAGCGGGGGCAGCTTTTCCCGTAGAGGTTTCGCCGACCGCATTTGGCAGCTCGTTCCCGTGCTCTGCTTGGGAGCACCCAGAGCGAGGCCAGTTCCTGCAGCGCGATGCAGAGCTCACGCACAGATCACAGAGCAAACTACCTGTCGCTTTTAAGCATCAGCTCCCAGACGACCTGGCGTGAATCATGCATCTTGCGTCATGCACAGTTTTGAGGACGTGTTTAGGGCCCATAGCATTTGCGTTTGAAGCGGCCCTCGATGTTTCGCAGGCAATCTTCCTCGTGGCAGCCATGGGCCATAGTTCAGGGTATACCGGCATCACCCCTCCCTAACATACTGGGTTATGCCCACGCACCCTTTCCCAAGTGAACCTGGAGAAACACATGTCAAATGCCAGAATGAGATGTAGCACCAGTTAGGACCGAACACAAGATAGAAGCACACGTAAGAAGGCCTTGCAGCATATTATGTAGCCACTACAGGGAGCCGCGAAAAGTTGGAAACTGTAACAGTGATACTATAGGGTCCTTAATAATTAGAATACGGTTTTGGGGCCCATTATACTACAACTATAACGATCACCTACTGCTGCAACTCCCTAAACTGGTACTTTGTGCCTCAAGATATTGAGCTTCCAAGTCTTCGGCAGTAATCAAGAGTGGGCCATGAAGAATTTGACTCGCTTTGGCTCATGCTGTGGCTGCTTGCATTTCATGTTAGTCCGGGAGATTGCAAGCCGCTGTGAAAGGGCGTGCCAAAGCTGTTTGCAAAGTAGTCGTAGTAGCTGTGTAGGTGACCGTAAACCTCGTGGGGTTTATATTATCCTACCATACTTGTTTGAAAAGGTGAACCTGCTGTTTTGGGCGAGGGTACTCAGCCCCTAAGTAGTAGACAAAGCTAGCCACCAACCTGAAGCTTCAAAGGCTGAAAGTCACAGTCGGAGCGACAACAGCCTTGGAAAGCCAAAGCCTACCACAGACCACAGCAAAAGGACCTTGAAAATCTCGCAACCACCAAATCCGAGCCGCTCCTTGAAACCGGTTGAAGGCAGGCAGCCTAGAATTTAACGTAGTATACTTGAGATGAGTTCAACATAGCCTTGTACACCGACCCCTACTGTTGGATCATGCGTCAAGCATCGAGTAAGATCCTGAAACGCCTACGGACTCCGTAGGCCCTGACAGAGCACAGCCACCAAGCTACTGTGATTATCTACTTCCAACCGAAGGCCTTACAGAAGCAATGACGGAGGCCCAAAAAAACTACCAGCCAGCAATGACAGTAGAGAGAGAGAGAGAGAGACTCATACTACGGTGTAAATGTGTGTATACCTAAGTGTGTATATAAATAAAGTATATCTTCATATGTATCTCTCTCTCTCGTTGTTTGCATTACGCTCGTCGATGTTGCATAGGGGCAAACCCTTTCTGTTTGAAGGCCGCCGAAGGCCTGAACCTTCCAACTTGATGCTTCCGGGGCCGACACCACCCGAAAGCTTACGCAAGGGATGAGCACATGGTCCAGGGTTGCGGCTTTGGGCTTAGTTGAGACCAGTGGACCTAGTGAGGCTGGTGACTCTAGTTCTTAAAGCCCCTTGAGTCTCCACACAGAAATAAACACATGCACATACATACACACACATATATATATATGTATGAAGATATGTGTATGTATATTGCATTTGTACACCCTGAGCCCTTGAGCCGACAGCCCTTGAATGCGCTTCAACCGTCAGTCACAATGTCCTATGTGCATTGTTGGTCAGGGCAGCCGTCCGATGCTCCACGGCAGCTTCCACGCCTGGGCCCACAAGGCACTCGAAACAGATGGTCAGGGATTTAGGATGCTTTGGCGGTGTAGGGCTCAGGATGGTTCAGGGTTTGGCATTTAGGGCTCAAGGATTAAAGGGTGTTTGGGGTTCCGGATGGTTCCGTAGCTTCTGGGAGTTGACGGTTGAGGGACTGTTCGGCCCTTGCCAAGGGCCAAGGGCCCTCCATGCAGCCTCATGAAGTCCTACAGACCTCACCGTCCTCGTTTGATCCTCCCCAGCAGGCAACTTGAATCCATAAACTCTACCGTGCCTCTGCTACAGGACAAGGACACCCAAATGTAAGGTTTGTGCAAGGCATGAACGGTCCCAGCTGTCGGACCAAGGAGGGGTCTCTGCCTTTTTTCGGAAACGTTCCTACCAGTATGTCAGCTTTTTTTGTCTTGGATATGTGTACTGACGGTTTCGCACTTAAAGCTTTACTTGAGAAACAGGCTCTACATGAAACAGTGAAGTTAATGCAAAAGTACATCATAACGAGGGCGGGTTGGGAGCAAGATAACCCAAGTTGATGTGCTCACAACCCCAAGTATCTCATACGCATCAACCCCTTTAACCTTAAGCGCCAAACCCCTAAACCCATAAAGCCAGACCTCATGAAGCCGCGCCTGCCTTGTGCGAGCGTGTGTCGAAACCCATAACGCACTCGTCATTAAGTCGGGTGATCCTAAAGACTAGCAAGCTCCAAGCCCCCATAAACCCTGGAGCAGCTCCTCGGCCTTTAAGTAGCGTGCGTCGGCAATTTCGACGAATGGACAGTTCTTTGGTGGTTTCTTTTTGCTCGGAGTATCATCCACCCTATCTATAAGAAGGACCAGGCTCTTGCTTTGGGATGCTTTGGGTCGAAGTTATGATGACTTCTGTTCTGAAGCTCCCATACCAAGAGGCACAGGATCCCGCATCAATCGCAGGCCTCGAGCCCTTGCAAGTAGGGTCTTATTCTACGGTTTGTGTGGGAGGTGTGAAGCGCGAGGGATGTTAAGACATTCTGGGTTGCGGGCCTTGTCGGTGGAAGATACAGTGTGGCGTGCGATGAAATACTGTCGGGACAGCCATGGGTGTGTTCGATACATCACATCGTCTGAGGCGAAGATTCTAAGACACATATTATGTGCTAACATCCAAAGACTATACCTTAAGTCAAGTCGTTGAAACTCGATCCTTAATATACAAATGATAGCTGGGAGGTGGCCTCCAGAAAAAGCGAAGCCAAGCGCTGCGAGGACTATTTAAGAGGGCTCTAAGCATTCAGGGCTTCAAGGGTTTGACAGTGTTAAGGGGGTGCAGGCAGCTGGGATTGAGTTTGCGAATCAGTTGTTTTTTGATGGGGCATCGTTGAGGGATTGGGGACTTCTGCTTCGTGTATTTTTTAATTGCGTGTTTTGGGTTTCGGGAGGTTGCGGGGTCGTTTGCAGGTCTTCGTTTGCTATCGGGGATGTGCCGGGACGTTCTCGTAGAGCTTGTGTTTCTGAAACTGTGTGGAACACCTCCGCAAGAGAACGATAATAATTTGACCAAAAGCACTAGGAAATCTATTTCTAGCAGAGCAGCTTTCCACCACGAGTGCCGTAGGTAAACACGAGAGGAGTTTTGGCGCTTAGATGAAGCCTTCACAACCCAAACCCTAAGGCTGCACACATGGCACGCGTGCCGCTTTACACAGTTTCTGTGTTGAGGTTGCAGCAGTGCGGCCTCGCCGGGTTCGTGACCTTTGCTGAAATCTAAATCTGTTTTGCTCCCGTCAGTGCAGCGCGAAGGCGCTCCTCCCTGTGTGGTGGTTGCGCATGCGGGGGCGGTCCTTGCCTTACGGAGGGATGTCTATGACCCTGAAATTATGCAACCTTTCATGGAAGCTAGTGTGTTCCTTGCAGAGCGACTTGGTCAGTGAAAAAGCCTTAACACCTGCTTCCTAAAACATTAGGCCTACAGCCCTAAACCCTCTAAACCATTAAATCCCCCTGCCCCCTCGAGGAGGAGACACGTTTCAGCTACCTGCAAGCCATCTTCCGTGCCTGGGCCACCCTGGCTGCGGTGGGGGACCCATCATGACGAGAATCGTCGCTGTTCCTCAAAGGGCTGGTAAAATTTAGGTTCTGAAAGGAGGTCTTGACGGTTCAATGCATACAGCAGATTGAAAAAATATGGGGGCACGCTATTTTTGGGTACCTTGCAACCTGGGGCCTCCGGTTTGGGGTTTGAGTACTGTCCCCAAAGAAAGCCGATCTTCTTTGCTATCTTTGACGCATGCTGTGAGCACACAATCCTGGAGCTCGAAGCGCGGCAGATACGCCTTGGAAGCCAGACTTCCTTCACATGATAAAATGCACCGATGCAACGCACTTGCCTCTAAGAAGCCCAGTTTGCGCAGGTCCTCTACCCTGCTTCAAGAGCCTTCCACACAAGTGCATTGTCCACTATGGTACTGGTAGCTGAAGCTAAGCCTTTCTCCCGCAAGCTCAGTAGAAAGGGATGCTGTGGTGCCCCAGAGTTGCGAGGCTTTTTGTTGATGGTGAATTAATGCAGAAAGGGATGTTTTCCAGCTAAACCTCAACCCTTTCCTCCCGGCCCCAAATCACCAAAAAAACAACATCAAATATACACAAGTACACACGCACGCACAAACAAAGACACAAACAAACACACGCACAATCACACAAGCATAAAGACCCTAAAGGCACCGAAAGCACCGAGGCGGGACACCAGTCGAAGGAGTTGGAGCAGGAGAAGGTAGGCGGTAGGAGGGTGCTCTTTTTTTGAAAGGAGCTTTTGATTCCCATAGTAAAGCTGCTTAATATGAGAGGTTCAAGGCTTACGACACAGGTCGACGCACCCCGGTCGGGCGTATTCTGCTTACTTGGTTTCCTCTGCATCGGAGTCGGGTCTCAAGGATGAGAGTTTGAGGCTGGAGCCCGTTACCTATGAGCAAAGGGAGCGGGCTTCAGAGTGCTGCAGGAGCTTGGGATCACAGTTGCGTGATTTTGGGCTTGCTGCCGTGCACAGTTAGGGTTTCTAGTCTTGTCTGGAATCTAGTTTACAATGGGTAGAAAGCTTATTGTATGGTCTATGCAGCCTTGCCAGTAATAGCACAAAAGCACCAGTAATACAACAAAGCCTGTCACCACTAACAACACTAGGGATGGTCTATGGTATGTGTTGCTGTATAGCTTGCGAATGCAGGCACGGATTCAAGTTGATACCACCCCAACTCGTCAGATCCTGTTTGCAAGAACCAGGCATTCAATCGTAGCATGAAGCAACCCATATGCCTTCGCCTGTTTGCAGGAAAGGCTTCGACAGGAGCAGGACCCGTTGCAACACGCAGCGTGCTCTTCGATCTTGTTGTCAAGGGGCAGAGGTTCTTCTGCAGTTTCAAATCTGGTCGTGCAAGAACTTAATGTTTTGAGTTGCAGCCCTCCGACGGCTACAGAGGCATCGAAACACTCCGGAACTCTCAGACGCCTCGCCACAGGAGCAGCTGAAAAAGGAGATCGAGGACGCCTTCAGCTGGAGGGAAAGGCATGTAGCCAAGCTAACCTCACGGCAGCTGAGCAGGCATCCTGAGAGGAGATCGTATTTGCCACTGGTTTCCTTGGTCCTCTAAGTGGTTCAGGGAAGGGGCTGCGAGGGCCCTGAGACAAGATTCCAAGGGTAAAAGAACGCACCCTTAATAAGGACCCCTAGGTATATACCCTTAATATAGCCATTATATAGACCATTATATAGCCCATTATAGGGTAGGGGTCCCCATTCCCTTTTTGCAGAACCGAAGGAGCAGAGGCTGCGTCAGTCCAAGATTCGGCAAAGCATGCTCGGCTTCGCGGAGAACCAGGCGCCGGGCATCATGTTGCTGTAAAGTGGATATTTTCAAAAAAAGCTACATATATATATATATACATATATATATATATACGGGGTCATACAGTTTTATAGAGATTCGGGCTTTAAAAGGGTTTAGGGTCTACGGTTTCATCAGGCCTTGTTAGACGTTGTTTAAGAAAGCTTTGATTGGGATACTGCTTGGGTCAGCCGAAAGAAAAAGTATCTTGTATTTTGGGGGGCTGGGTTGAACCGGCCCCCTTGGCTCCCAGATGTCATCAGCTTCTCACATGCTGTTGGATGTGCAGCGCCTGGGCGAGTCACACCAGAAGTGACTTTGACAGGCAAACCAGTATGTCATCCTCGGCCTGGAACTCAGCCATGGGGGGGCTCGGAATCATGGTAGACTCTGTTCCATTCTACTGACACGGAACACGAACACAAATGAAAGCAGTTGTCTTTCGGGTTTCTTAACATGGTATACCGTAGTTCTAGTTACTAAGGCCCCTATATCACCGCCTTCTTGCTGCAAGTACGTAGCAGTTCCCGGGCAAACACATCCGTCCACGGAGGACCTGACTGCGAATGTAGCAGCTGCAGGCTTTGCATCCCTATTCGCATCAGTTCGCATGTTGTGATCCGTGCGTTTCCATCCAAAGGCAAGTCTGGCCTGCTCATTCGGAAAGCTGTAGCAGGTCCTTTCACTAGGCAGAAGGCAAATCAGTTGTTGGACCTTCTGGGCCGTAGCCACAACCGTCGGATCCTCACTCTAAACGAAACCACCTAAATCGTCGGCCAAGGCATGATTTGGTCCTCCTGGAAAGAGCTTCTTCTCGAGAAGAGGCCTGCGGCGATTTTTCGCCAGTAGAACCTGGAGATAACAGACACCGACTCTCTTTCTCTGGTTTGTCTCCGCCGCCACCCTTTCCTCCACAGCTCTCTCTCACTCTCACTCTCTGTTTGCCTCACTCCAGTTCCCGCTGCCGGCTCATAGGCTCATACAGGTGTCTTTTCGAAGGTGTGTGTGTGTGTGTGTGTCTCTTTCTTTGTTTGTTTTGTTGTGTCATTACTTGTGTAGTCATTGATTTGTTTCTTTATTTCTGTCGTTCTGTGTTTCTTCGTTTAGTTACGTAGTTGTGTCTGTCGCTCGTGTGTGTTACTGTTGTTTGTTTGTTTGCTTGTTTGAGTGTGTGCGTGTGTCTCTCTATGGATGCACGTACGTACCTGAGCCTTGCGGCCTAGCAAATAGTCATTCGAGAACGGAGGTACTCCGAAACATGCGTTTGTCAACCGCACTTTGATCTGTTCGTACCTGGCCAAACTGCCTGCGAAGGGAAACCGGGCAGGTGACGGGCAAGTGACAAAAATCCCAAACTGTCCAAGAGCGTGGCTTCCACATGACCTGCGAGGCTGCTGGCCGAGCGCCTGGGGCCCAGAGGGGCTCGCAGCTCGCAGGGTCTGAGTCTGGGGTTCTCTGGCTTCTTGGCATTGTCATGTTGCTAAAACCGCGGATCCTCCTCAGTCTTAATCTTCGCCAGTGGTCTGAAACTGACGAGTTCCCTGTTTAGGGATGTCTGTGATGAACGTATAGGGGCTTGGGCACTTCTTTATGTCAGTTCGGTCTAAGACAGGATGTGACCACGGGGCCGACATCGGTCCCGCAGCTTGGTCAAGACATAGTTCGCTATGTGCATCATGACACGTGATGTCGAAAGACCGTTACATACCCCACAGTGTATGAAAACCTGGAACGCACCCTGGTTCCTAAGCCCCAAACCTTCAACGCCAATTCTCCACCCAGAATTGGGAAGAGGCCCCTTGATGCCTCGAAATCGTAGCCAGTGTCATAAGAACTTAGGGTCAGGGGGCATAGTTAGCACCACAGGGGTAGAATGGAGCCTCTTTCGGCACTTGTAAAATCATGGCCTCTGAGCTACTTGTCAGGTCTTGTGAGTGATTCTTTACAAAGCCTGGGCCGCACATCGTACATTCGTAAATGCTGAACCTTCATCCTTTCAGCTTGCAAGCAAATCGCTCCCTTTTTCCCGCTGACTTCCCAGATAATGCCGAGCGCCAGCAGTGGGAGCGAGAGTTCGAGGACTCGACGTTTGGGGCCCTAGGAGTCTTTAGATAGTTTAAGTTTCTGAAATTTGTGATTTTGGGGATTTGTAGTAGTGGAGGTTTCCCACATCTGTGAGATCCCCCCATGAACGGACGCGTCCATAGTGAGTAAGTGGCGAGGATGCCAACTACCGGAAATCTGCCTTTTTGTGTCAGCCGCTTTATGACTTTGGCTGCGGTATCTGCTCACTTGAAGCTCCAGGAAGATAATACTTACCTATACTATTTCGGTGGTTTCCTGACTGTAGTTGTAGTATAAGGGGCCCCGAAACTAGTTTTGCGTTCTGCTCCTCTCTCCTCAGAGGCCCCCTGCGTGGCCTCACAGGAGCGACAGGAAGCAGAGAGGAAGAGCCTGAGGCCGAAGACGGCAGAGCACAGGGCTGCGGTGTAGCTACTATTTGCTTAAGAAGCACCCAAAAAGTAAGAATAATAATCCCTATATTACCCCCCATAAGGAATATATTTTTTATTTTTTGGGTGTTCTTAAGCAAATAGTAGGTAGCAGGTATGGTATTCTTACCTTTGGTAAAGTGGGGAATGGAAGAAGGGTAGTAATCGTCCATTTCTCCATGAAGACGGGGTGTGAATCGCAGATGAAGCCCTTAGGGACGGTGTAGCAGGTATGCCGGTATGCTATGGAAGCTGCCAGTGGGTACTACCTGTGTCCAAAAACCTACCGTTTTAGGGGTTAGACCCTCTAATTAAGGGGTCATAACCTACCATTTTGTAGGGTTTGGGGATACAGGTACTACCTCTAAACCCAAAGAGGACATGGTTCCTCCATCAGGACTCCGATGGGGCTCGAACTTGCAGGTTCCTGTTTCCTGGACACATTGCTCACAGCTTAGCTGCTTAGCTTTTGGCTCAACGCCTCTGAAAGCCTCATTCCGGACATGCTTTCCCAAATTCCATCCGGATCGGAGACCCCGCCAGCTTTCCTGCTGATCCAGCCGACCCTGCAACCACGAGCTTGTCGGCAGCGTCAGCTAGTATGTGAAGAAGCCAGTGCTGAAAGCCCCGCAACCCCCTAAGCCCTCAACTCTACCCCCCCAAGCTGAACTCCCCGAGCCCCAATGCCCGAGATCACGGCAACGTCTTAGCCCCAGCACGCTGCAACGCACTCGGCGTGGAAGAGCAATGAGAGGCTCGGCTCCTGAATTGCAAGGGTGTTGGGGCTCAGGGTGCCACGAGCCGCTGACTAAGTGATTGTGGTCGAGTGTCGAGTATACACAGCTTTACACATATTTGCATATGTTGATGTGATTTGTGTTGGGCTTCTTCGCACCAAAAAACCCCAGAGGCCCATGAACCGACACACATCCTAGAGGACGATGAACCTCCTCGCGCTGCCCTTGGAGCGCGACCAGATCTTCTCCATCAAGCGGCGGTTTCCGGGGTTCTCCGGGAAGGCAGGGACAGCTTTTGTGCTGTCGTTCAGTTCAAACCAGAGACTCCAAAAGCCCCCTTGCTTAGGCCTTCGGTCTTAAAGTATAGAGGGACCCTTCAGTAGATCTGAAGAAGCAATTACTTACACTGCTTAATGAAAGTTTTTGAAGGGTTTCTAGGAGCAGCTTGAAGCAGGGAATGCTCGTGGTGGAAGAAAGCTCTCTGATCGAATAATGGCTAGGTTGGCAGCGGAGAGGGGGAGGCATACTGCACGTCTCTGGCCGGAGCTCGGAAAATTGCTGAGCCTGCTTGAAGGGGTAGGAGCCTTCGTTTCTTGTCCCGCATGCAGCAAGGGAGGGTGTCGAGGACATCAAGTGGTCCCTTTCTAAGGGTTTTCCATGATTCAGGGCCCCCTCATAAATCCAGAAAAAGGATCCCGTGATTGAGGAGCTTTCATACTTCAGGATCCAAGTTTGCGAAGGTGAGCATCCCACTCTTCTCGCAGGTGCCGGAAGAGGCGGCGTTTTGGTCCGAGGCAGATCTGGAAGCCTACTTCGGCAGTAACGGTCGGGCGCTGAGATGCACGACCTACAGGGTTCGAGAGGGGCTTATAAGGTACCGATACAATTACTTATTAGTTGTCATAGGGGTTTGTAGGTCAATCTGCAGGGTTTATAAGTTATAAGAGTGATACAGAGGTCTTTGGTTGTGGTTTCAATCATGGTTGTCCGGTTTTTGCCAGGGGCGTCCTGCAGACCCCCTTTGAAGTTTCAGAAAGGACGGGAGCTTGAGGTGCCCAAATAGTAGGATCCTTAGAGTGGCCACAAGAAATCGGGCAATGTTTGAGTTACGTGTGCCGGAATCCCCTATGTATGAACTTTGTGAGACCTCTAAAAATCCTTGTCCACCTTACAAATCCCCGGCGGAGCATAAACACTGTACACCGAGCCCCTGCACCGCAAGGTCAGAAGAGACCGTGACCCGGCTTGAAAGCGGAGCTGTTACTTGAGAGCAAGGGCCGGAACTTCTACTCTAGATTCCATCCGAAGCCAGGCCCGAATTAAGACAGACGCAAATGTGTGAGAAACGGGTTACAGGTCTCGGAACTTCGGGGTACAAAACATAGCCACTAAACCTTGGAGAATGTTCCCCCAAGAAGCTTAGCGTTCATGTTTCGGGCATTTGCATGGGGTTTGCTTAGAAGAAGAGGTATGCAGCGACCATAAGACGATAGAAGTCTAAGCACCACTCGGACCTGCACAGTCGCCCTTGGGGCCTGTAGGGGCTGAAGGGGATAGGTTGGGGTGTAAGATTCAGGCGGTTTGGCGTGGTACAGGCGTCTTGGGGTTTAGGGTTATCTCCTGGTTGGGGGGAGCTCAGAGTACGTCAGCTTCAGAAGCTTCGCGTATTGGTGGCGCACGTCCGGTTCCGAAGATGTAGATTCGACGTCTCGCTTTGTGAGACGAGGTTATTTCATGATGCTTAATATAGGGGCCTTAATAATTAGAATAGGCCTTTGGGCCCCATTATACTATACTTAACATAAAGAACCCCCAAAAGAGTAGGCCCCTATGTCAGAACATGCGGAGAGGCGCGAGACTTCGCGACCGGGCACGGAGACCTGCTCGCTCCTCTCGCGGGTAAGGCCCGGGCCCGTCGAGCTAAAACAAGCAGAGTTATGCCTTGGGGTGTAATGTAGGGGCTTTGATAATTCGAATACTGGAATTATAATAAGGAACCCCCGAAGAAGTATTGGTACTTATTGCGGCCCCTATATTACGTCCCTCGATGCAGTGGGTTTACTTGCAAGTTCTCTGGATACACGAGACATGTCCGCTGCAGCAGATTGGCTCCTTCCCGTTTGGAGGGACAGCTCAACTTTGCCGCCAAGAAGCTATTGCTAGGCCACTGACTTCATCATCCTACATCTCATGCTCCGCCAAGAGTCCGGCAAGAATCCTTCCTAATACTTTTGCATGGCATGCGAGGCTACGTGGCCCTTGCTCTGGCAGCATTTCTCACGGAATGCATGGGCGAAGATGGCCCACCCTCCAATCTGTTTGTGGTTGGAGGATTCCCGAAGTGCAGCAGCTCGCATATTTTTCGCCTTCTCCAGTCTCACCCAAATACAGTGACTTTCGGAAAGCAGGTGGGCTCTCTACCTGGAGCAGAGATTGAATTTGAGAAGGCTGCTTTCGCGATCGCGAGGACCCTGCAGATCCCCGGCAAGCCCGTCACATCTGCTTGTACAAACATGCCTCTCAGAGCACTGAAGGAATGCAAGCGGCTCGTCGGCTACATCAGGGGTAGGTACGACAATTCGACCGCCGCGGTGCTCATCATCACGGACATCTTTTTCCTGGAGAAGAAGGTGCGTGTTCTGCCCCTTAAGATCTTTTTGTAGTGCAGACCTTTTTCTCGAAGCAGGCGATGGCTCGTCGCTGGATAGGTAAAGTCAAGCTGCTATTTGTGGTCCGCGAACCAGCGGATTACTTGTGGGCCGCCTACAACTTTTGGATTCTGCCTGGGGAGCCGAAAGGCCTGCAGGACGACTGGACGGACACGACGAGCCTTGCAATTCGCAAAAGGGTTGAACTTTCGGACCTGTGATCACAACTGCATGAGCTTGTTCGGTGATACTTTCTGATGCATGGCTAGAGTCTAGAGGCACATGTCCAGCGCAGCTTTGGTGGATGCTGTGAGCTGTCAAGGAAACACACTCGGAGCCCGGAGCTGTTCCACGAGCTGGTTTTAGCCGATGGCAAGAATCCCGCGTGGCAGCCGCGCTCCGGCAAAGTGACGGGACTGTGGTTCAACCTCATCCAAGACGTGAAGAACGCGTCTGCAAAAACTCTCGTTCTCAAGTCCGAGGCAGTGCGAGTACTAATCGGCATACACTACCCCTAGGTATATACCCTTAATATATAGCTATTATATACCCATTATATAGCCCCTTGGCCTTCATCGCATGAGGTGTGCTTTAGTCCCCACATCAGGCCGCGAACTGCCACCCTGAACTCCCGAACGCCACACGAGCGTAAAAGCATTCGTGAAGTTTCGGTGTGCGTGCTTCCATCGGGCCACAGGATTTCACTGACCACGTGAACGCGACCTTGGACACAATGGCTTCCTTCCTGGGTGTCAGCGCTTCTGGCTTTCCCATCGAGGTGGCCTTGGGACGCACCAACTCCCAATCGAGCACGGAGCGTCGAGGGGTGGACACTGTCCAAAAAGATCCAGTAAAAATCGGAGTGTACGAGATCTCGGGCAGAAGGCCAATGCTGTGTGCCACAAGGCGCGTGATCTACTCCAAGACGCAAGACGTCTGCCAAGTTCTGAGCACCGCTTTTGAGGTTCGCTACGATGCATGCCTCCGCGGCGGAGCTGGCGAGTGCACGGACGCAAATATGCACTCTCCTGCCCCCGAGCCCACGAGAGCTTGGACCAGCCGGGCCGCGAATACCATGGCACCGCCACTCAGCATCTCTTCAGCTACCATGGAAGAAGCGCCCTCCAACCTGATTGTGGTCGGAGGATTCGCGAAGTGCAGCAGCTCGCATATTTTTCGCCTTCTCCAGTCTCACCCAAATACAGTGACTTTCGGAAAGCAGGTGGGCTCTCTACCTGGAGCAGAGATTGAATTTGAGAAGGCGGCTTTCGCGATCGCGAGGACCCTGCAGATCCCCGGTAAGCCCGTCACATCTGCTTGCACAGGCATGCCTTTCAAGGGGCTGAAAGAGTGCAATCGGCTTGTTGGCTGGATCAGAGGTAGGTACGACTACTCGACTCCAGCGGTGCTCATCATCACGGACATCTTCTTCCTGGAGAAGAAGGTGCCTGTTCTGTCGAGCAAGCCTTTGCATTCACCTCATAAGATCTTTTTGTAGTACAGATCGTTTTCTCGACAACAGGAGCTGGCTCGTCGCTGGGCTGGCAAGGTGAAGCTGCTCTTTGTGGTGCGCGAGCCCGCGGATTACTTGTGGGCCGCCTACAACTTTTGGATTCTGCCTGGGGAGCCAAAAGGCTTGCAGAACGACTGGACCGACATGACGAGACTTGCAAGCGCACGAGACGGTTGAGCATTCGGGCTTGTGATCACAGTCTTCACATATGTGCACAACAGCGTGTATTTGCTGGGGCTGCCTTTTGCTTCGGCGATGCTTTCCCATGACCCTCTCAGGGGGTAGCAGGGTCACATGTGAAGCAGTGCATTGGCTGCAGCATGTTGCGACCTCTTGCTTCTCAGGACACACACGCGAAGCCCTGAGCTTTTCCACGAGCTGGTGGTAGCCGATGGCAAGATGCCCACCTGGCAGCCGCGCTCAGACAAAGTGACCGGACTGTGGTTCAACCTCATCCAAGACGTGAAGAACGCGTCAGCGACCATTCTCGTTCTCAAGTCCGAGGCTGTCACGACGGGTGCATGTGACTTGTAGAATGCGTAAACTACCCCAGGCCTCGACGTGAGGCCGGACCTACTCACAGCTTGGAAGTAACATGCAGATCAAATCAAATGAGTTCACAAATCCCTCAAGTGTACATACATGAGGATGGAATATCTCCGGCTCCGGTAACGTTTCCCAGGCCGAACTCACTGTCAAATCCCATACTTGAGTGGTCTCCTCCATGCCGTGCGTTTTTTGAAGTATCTTGGCCTGGAATACAAAGTGTGCTCCCTTCACAGTTCCACGTTCGGCCAGAGCGCCTGCTCGAGGGCCGAAGATTTGTCCATAAAATCGTCTTTTGGTCAAGGTTTGGTCTGTTTCCGCCTTCCGAAATCGTGCTTCTGCCTCAGTGCCGTGCTTATTTCGGGGTGCGACTCGTCTAGTTTTCGCCTCTTCAATACTTGCCACTCGTCTCTGGCAATTTTGAGCTTTCGGTGTGCTTCTGGAATGTTTTTCTCGAGGTGCTGTGTGTTTTTGCGCTGCTCTGCGCTGGTATGGTTTCGGGTTTCGGTTTGTCGACACGCATACTGCAATTGAGCCGCAGGATTTCGCTGACCGTGTGAATGCGACTCTGGAGATTATGGCTTCTTTCCTCGGTGTGAGAGCTTCTGGCTTTCCCCTCGACGTAGCTTTGGGACGTACCAACTCCCAAGCGAGCATGGAGCGTCGAGGTGTCAACATCATCCAAGAAGAACCAGTGGCGACTGGCGTGTACGAGATCTCGGGCAGCAGGCCAATGCTGTGTGCCACAAGGCGCGTGATCTACTCCAAGACGCAAGACGTCTGCCAAGTTCTGAGCACCGCTTTTGAGGTTCGCTACGATGCATGCCTCCGCGGCGGAGCTGGCGAATGCACGGACGCAAATGTGCACTCTCCTGCCCCCGGAGCTTGGACCAGCCGGGCCGCGAATACCATGGCACCGCCACTCAGCATCTCTGCAGCTTCCATGGAAGAAGCGCCCTCCAACCTGATTGTGGTCGGAGGATTCGCGAAGTGCAGCAGCTCGCATATTTTTCGCCTTCTCCAGTCTCACCCAAATACAGTGACTTTCGGAAAGCAGGTGGGCTCTCTACCTGGAGCAGAGATTGAATTTGAGAAGGCGGCTTTCGCGATCGCGAGGACCCTGCAGATCCCCGGCAAGCCGATCATATCGGCTTGCACAGGACTGCCGCTGAGGACACTGAAAGAATGCACCCGGCTAGCCAGCTATGTCAGGGGTAGCTACGACAATTCGACTGCAGCAGTCCTTGTCATCACAGACATCTTCTTCCTGGAAAAGAAGGTGCACACTTCATCATTCAAGCCTCTATAGCCCCGCAATCTCACAAATACCAGCCCAACCAGCCCAAAACCAAGAGCTGTTCTTGACTAGTAGTTCGACAGTTGCCAAACCAGGCTTTGGCACATCGCTGGGCTGGCAAGGTGAAGCTGCTCTTTGTGGTGCGCGAGCCTGCGGATTACTTGTGGGCCGCCTACAACTTTTGGATTCTGCCTGGGGAGCCAAAAGGCTTTCAGGACGACTGGACGGACACGACGAGCCTTGCAATTGCGCGGGAGGGTTGAGCTTTCGGGCTTGGGATCACAGTCTTCAGACATTCACATACAACTATAGGTGCTTGTTTGGGCTGCAATTTGCTTCGCTGATACTTTCCTATGCATGTCTAGAGTGAAGAGCCTGTGTTAAGCGTAGCTTTGGTGGCTGGATGCTGTGGGCTGTCAAGGAAACACACTCGGAGCCCAGAGCTTTTCCACGAGCTGGTGGCAGCCGATGGCAAGAATCCCGCCTGGCAGCCGCGGTCAGGCAAAGTGACGGGACTGTGGTTCAACCTCATCCAAGACGTGAAGAACGCGTCAGCGACCATTCTCGTTCTCAAGTCCGAGGCACTGGGGGTGGTGATCAGCATGCACTTCCTGAAACCGTCAAGCCTTCGTCGCGCCACGAAGCGCGACCCTATGTCTTGCGTGAACTGCTACCCCGAACCCCGAACAAGCAAACGAAAAGGCGTTTGTTTGTCGCCGGTGTAATTGTTTCGATCGTGCTGCAGGATTTCACTGACCATGTGAGTGCAACATTGGACACAATGGCTTCCTTCCTCGGTGTGAGCGCTTCTGGCTTTCCCCTCGACGTGGCCTTGGGACGCACCAACTCCCAATCGAGCACGGAGCGTCGAGGGGTGGACACTGTCCAAAGAGATCCAGTAAAAATCGGAGTGTATGAGATCTCTGGCAACAGGCCAATGCTGTGTGCCACAAGGCGCGTGATCTACTCTAAGACGCAAGACGCCTGCCAAGTTCTGAGCTCCTCTTTTGGAGTTCGCTACGATGCATGCCTCGGTGGCGGAACTAGTGAATGCTCGGACACAGCCGCGCATTCTATATTCGCCATCAATCTGGGCCGAGCCGTGACAACCATGGCACTGCCCGTTACTAGGTTTTTGAGGTATCATGGGGTTCTGTTGTTTCTGTTTGGTCTTCACCGGCTGACACGGTTTGATGGCATCTTGGTCTCGGGGTCTAAGAATTTTGTTTGTACTAGGGACATCCTCTATGGCCGGTAAAAGTACCGGTTCTGCAAGCTCGAGTTTAGATCCCTTCAGAAGAACGCAGGTTAACAGCGTTCCCCTCAGTGTCTGGAACCTCTCGGACATCGTGGTCATCCCCATCTTCATCGCGGGGCTAAGCTGTGGCCTGGCATTGGGCCGAATAAGGCGCTGAGGCACGGCTCAGCTGCAAAAGCTTCCGCGAAAAACAGGCGGAAGGCCAAATAAAGCACGTGCGCGCTATGCCATGAACCACAGAACTACCAGCATGTGTGGAGAAGCATGTTGGTTGAAGCATAGCTTGCTGGGAACTCCTTCAATGCAGGGTTGACAGGGTTCTGCTGCGCTCACAAATCTCAATCTCAGAAACTCCGGGGCGCTTGCATAGATTCTGCACCTTGGGATACTCGTCCTTAGACATGTCAGTTTTAGCAAAGCTCTCGAACCGTGGGGGGGGGGGGCGCTCAAAGCAGCACAAACGAAGGCATTCCTGCTGTTGAAGGGGGTGTTTGCTGGCACACAATCCAAGCCCATGCTGAAAAGGGCAAGTGGTTTGCTGTTTTGCTGGTCTTAGTGTTGCATCTGAAGGTTTTACTTCTGCAGGTGCTCGTCAACAGCACCCACTCCCACCTGTTTAAACGTGTATAATGTGGAGGCCTGGAGACTTTGAACCACGAGTTTCCAGGTCTCCTTCATGTGCTTCTGGTTAAATAGGCCCTCAAAAAACCCTAGTCTAATGTTTGCAGGCCTTTTCGGTATAATATACCGACAATAAGAACGTTGCTCTAATTATTCGTATTTCTGGTACAACCTACCTCCCAACCCCGGAAAACCCCATTCCAATTTCAAACTGGGATCCCCTCTGCCACACGATGCTCCAGGTCAGGCTCCCATTGCTTGCAGCCCAGCACTGGTTTCGGTGCCTGACGTTAGGAATGTAATGCATAATACAGTAGAGTAGATTGTATAGTGTATCATATAGTCAGGTAAAACTAGAAGTCCGTAGCGCTTCTACACTGCATCCCGAAATCCTGTTTGAACCATTCTGCAAATCTGCCGCACCACCAAGGGAACAAAAGGCCCCGAAGCCCCGAAAAGCCGCAAAAAAACACGGAGGCTGGAGCTGGCGAAAAGGAAGATCGACGAGCCAACCATTGAGTATGCATCTTGACGGATGCCCTTACATACCCAAAGGGTCCAAAGTACCTGTATAGTAGAATGTAGGGTTTCTATATTAGGAAGTACTATGATGATTTGGGGAAGCATCCATAGTAGCTGAGCAGGTATCCTTTAACTGTCGGGATTTAGATAGTCCTACCATAAGAATGCTCGGCATCTTGACGGATGAAGCGCTAGGGCTTTTAGGGGTGTTCGGGCGTCAGCACTCTGGCCACTCACGTAGGTGTTCCATTTGGGCTACGGTTCAGGAGTTTCGAGCGCGGGGCATAGACCAGGCGAGTCAGGATGTTGCAAGTTGGATTGATGGTTTCCGTGTCGTGCAACGAAGGGTCCTGTTTTTGGGAGTTATTTACAGTTGAGGCGTTTGGGGTGTATGTTAACCGTTGGGCGTTTAGTGTGCAGGGATCTCATGTAAGGTAGGGTTTGAAAAGATGTGTTGTGAGCGTTGGGGTTTAGATTGAGGATACCCAGCCATGTGGCATAGGACGGGGCTTTGGATTTGGCGTTTCAGCAGAGCTGAACTCATGACACGACCAGAATTCTCGAAGAAAGCTTTTGAGCCCTATGCCCCTCAATCCAAGAACCTCGCACAACCCTAAAACCCTCAGGACCCTAGATAGCAAAACCCCCTGGAACCCCTGAACCCCTTGAACCGCGAAGCCCCCCGTGAACCCCTCCTGAACCTGTCCACCCTGCCGCCGTCGAATTCTTCAGCCTCGTAGGCCCATATTCCTTAATTCCCTTATAGAACCCTTATAGATCCCTTTAAGGAGCCCCCATAACAGTACCTAGGACCCTAAACCCCTTAGGCCATGACTCAGCACGAAGGCTGCCTTCTGCCGTCACTTGCAGAGCCTGCGAGAAGACTGGTACAGGACTGGGACACGACGATTGAAGTTTAAACTGGGGATAGAAAGGTTAATCATGAGATAGACCTGTGCAATCCCGTTTTGAGCCCTGATCGCGGCCCTGCAGGATTCTAGGCGGAACACTTCAAGGAATCCTATAGAGAGTTGGGCAAAGACTGTGGTCTCGACAGGCGAAGAAGAGGTGATCAGGACTAATTTCCAAGAAAAGATTTTGTCGCGAGCTCCCATGGCCATTATGGTATAGTATACTACAATACAGTAGTATACTATTGTGCGGTATATTATCTTATGCTGTAGGAAAGATTTTAGTAGAGGGTCCGGTGCATCTTACAGGAACGTGCGGCTTGCCAGCGTCGCCGAGTGTGCTTCGGCTGGTCCCCGGAATCTTGTAACCGACCAAGGGCCAAAGGTAAGCGGCTTCTGGGTCTCGATTCTTGCGGTTTAGTGGAGCTTGGGGTGGCACCTTAAACCCTCAACCCATTGTGCAGAAGGGTGTATGTCGGTATCTATTTCGTTGCAACTCCAGCTGGATATGGGAAGTGACGGCACAAAACGTTTCAAAAACCCCATAGCCTGCGAGAGCCTGGCCTTTTTGCGACACCATCAAAAGATCTTCAAGCCTTTACCCAAAGGCTCCATAGCCATGGTAGTTCCTTTTTGGGATTACCTTCGAGGGTTCTAAATATGAACCCCAAAACGGAAACTACTACAGAGCCCGTAGGTACAGACCGGCCCGAACCTGAAGCCTAAAACGCCCCTCTCTTCCGATCCGCGGAGGGCAAGAAGGCCCTAAAGCCTTACCTGGAGGTTCATGGGGAGTTATAAGTAGGGTATCCATAGTTATAACCCATATTAGGGGACTTATAACCCCACTTAGAACTACCCTTGAACCTCCAAGTAAATCCGAAAGCCTTCAAAAAACCCTCAATTTCAGGGGCTCCTTTCAGTGATTTCAGGGGTTCCAGAAGGGTTCAGGAAGTAACGTGGAAGCTTTAGCATATACTAGTTACTATTCCTTAGGGTTAGTTAGCATGGTTAAAGTCCTGAAGATCCCCAACAACACTACTGCTACTACTACTACTACTGCTGCTGCTACTACTACTACATCTATTATTACTACTACTACTAAACCCTAAAACCCTAAACCCCAATGAGGCTTAAGTCGTATGTAGTATCCGAGAGTTATTTCAGTGCCAACAAGTGCGTGTCCCAGCGATTCAAACCGAAGCAGATAGTCTACAGGTAGCTCCACAGTCCGCAGTTTCACACACCTTTATGCAAGCAATTGATCTCAAAATGTCGGTAATAAGCTGACAATGGCCCATTTTACGAATGTTCCACTCAGATCACACATTCCTGAGTCACTCCCGGCTCTCATTGTAGTTTTTGCATTATTCCCCGCATACCCCGCGAAAGTGATCTGCCGCTGTATGATGCCCAGAATTCTACTGGTCTGCTGTTGATTCACGTTGTAGAATCCTGGGTGGGTGCAGTCTTGCAGAGTGCAGTTACGTTATTGTTCTGAGCTTTGATCGTTGATGACCGTCCTTGACTGCTGCCCATAGCATGTCTCACATTCGTAGACTCCAAACCATATGCCTCGCCTGGATTGTCCGAGTGTGAGCGCCGAAACCCCAATGAAGGCCCCAAGAGCGTAGGAGCCGAGCCCTTTTGAGGCAAGGAGGTGCAGCGCCTTCGGGGGCTCGAGGGCGTCGCCCTGGAGGCCCCGGTGCTTTTGGAGAAGCAGCGCTCTTCGGCGAAGAGGGCTATGGAGGGATGGATGTATAAATATATTTGTTTATATATATATATATATAGATAGATGTTTTGTTTAATTATTTATGAATGCATACAGATACGTATACATGTCTGGATGTACATATGTGTACACACATATATTCATTCGGGGGAGTTTCGGGTTAAGGGTGCTGTTCTGTTGAGTTCAGGGTGGTGTAGGGCTTATTCTGGTGAGCTTGGCGTTAAGAGTGTTTCCTATGTTGAGTTCAAGAGGGTTTATCTGTCGGGGGCTCTTAGACTTTCCGGCATTTGCCAGGGCTTTATAAGCCAAGAGGGTGTGTGACGGAAATTCCTGCAGAGAACGTTTGAAACCCTAGCTCAAACTTGCCAGTGGTAAACCCCAGCCCTCAAAGAAAACTTTATAAGCCCGAACCCCTAAGCAGTTGAATTAGATGATCTTCCGTGGGAACCGTCCATCGAAGCAACATCTCAGGCGATTGGTATGCGCGGTTCTGGAATCTGGAGTTCTTCAAGAGGGACTGTGGACACGACTACTGGCTACTGAGCTGGCAGGATGTGCACGAGGATTTCGGATCGTAAGTCGGAAGGGTTCGTGTCAGCACGTGTGAAGTTGCTTCAACTTCAAGCCTTCGTGGGCTGTCCGGAGTCCGGAAGGCATCCGGGATCCCATGCAACGGGTGATGGAGCAAACTGTAACATCTCAAGCCTCGAAGCCCGATTTCTCACCGAAGGTTCTGCCGGCCACAATTCCCAGCATTCGAAGCTTGGTCATTCTTCATGTTCGTGTTGCCAATGAAGGCTTGTTGGGGGTGCTGAGGCTGCAGCTGCGGCCATAAAGCCACAGTGCGCACCTCCTGCCCACTCCAGAGAGGGCATGTTGCAAATCTGTGAAATACAGGGCTTTACGGATGCGGGAAGAGGTTCTCCTGGCGTGCATGCACCCAATCAGCCCGTAATTACTACAGTGCTACAGCTTCGGCTGCAACATCGGAGCTGACGGCGAGCCCAGCTAGTCAGATGCCCGACGTACTTGCGCACACGTTCCAGATCGCATACCCAGTCACTGGCTCCTGGTTCTGATCTGATCCCACACATAATGCCGTTCGATTCCTCAGGAATGCGATGAAGCAGCAGCTCGGAAGATGTTAAAGTGGTCTTCAAAAGTCCCCTTGAACCGAATGCGAAACGGGGGCTTGGAAAGGACATCAACCACCTCATGTGACTAAGCAGGTAAGAGGAAACATTCAGCCTTGTTATAGCCCACAAGAAGCAAGTGGTCCGAACCTTCCCGTCCCGCGTCCCTTGCCATACTCAGCAGCATCAACAAAACTCGGACACAACCTGCAAGAAGAACTTTACTACATATTAGATTATATTCTATTATATCGTATATTGTGTATAATGTCTTTTCGAGAGCTTCAAGCCTCTGAGCCTGTTGATCTCACATCAATCTCGGGAATGAGTTGGCTGGGCCACGTTCTTGCGATGGAAGGCGCCCGTGCATATAGTCATCATATCATGCAGAACACATCACGTTAACATGTCCATGCACCCTACTTGGCTTCTTTCCAGACGGCCAAAGGCCATTGACCAGATGACGCTTCACACCAACATCGCGGATTTTGCAACCTGGCCATAGAGTTGCAGCTCCCTCGTGCGAGGCCTTTGCTTTTTCGGTAGTTCCAGGTGGTCGGTGAAAGGGCAGGTGGGAGTTTCAGATAATGCGCGACCTATGATCGACACGAAGTAGCAGGATCCTGATCATAAGGACCGCTATAGAGCATCGGGGCCTCACTGTAGACCCTAAATGCTGGGAGCCTCCTTTGCTTGGGGTCATGCGCTCAAAAGAAACTCCCAGCTGCGGTAAGAAAGCAGCTGTTTGGAAGCTTAGCATGTCTTTGCTCAGACTATTGAAGAATACAAGTTGGTAGCAGAGTAGGAACCTTGTAGCCCGTTTCGTGGTATTGCGATACCTATATAAAAACCCCAAGGTATTAAATAATAATCCCTATATGAACTCAGAGGTTAACCTTAAACCTTAAACTCCCCTGAGGTGCAGTACAAGTAGAATAAGCCCAAACCTAAATGTATCCATGCGTTGTAAGCCAAGAAAACTCTCGAGTCGTCCTGGCTTCAGGTCGAGTTCACCCGGACGGTCCAGCGCATGGACCGGAAATGCGATCAGGACGTCTTGCTCTGCGTGGAAAAGCCAGCTCTAAGAAAGAAGCCTGGACAATTATCCATACTATTCTTAGGGTTTCCTATCAGTATAATTTGAAACGCTGCGCGTCGTCCGCCTCGGCCCGGCTGTACGCGCATGCGGCGAGTGGCTACTATCTGCAGCAAGCTCTTGTAGGAAAAAAGTAACAGTTGGAATCGCACTTATAGTAAAAGTAATGTTCATAGCAAAACGAAGCAGGATGATTGTGAGTAGTATTAGTAGTGGTAGTATCAGTACGAATTTTGGTGTCGTCATTCCGAAACACTGGATACCAAGACTCTCGCAAGTGGCGGGATGCCTTAAGTATGGGCCGTTGAGGCTGTGGATTTCGTGGGCGTCTTGGATTAGGGAAGCATCACAGCCTTTTCAACCACGTTTGGGGGTGGGGTCACTGGGGAGGGGATTAAGAGGTGGGGAATAGGAGAATCCGAATAGGAACCTCTGACCCCTTCGGCCGGGCGAATTATATTTCCACAACCCAACACCTTATCTCTCTACATTAAGCGCAGTGAAAGATCCCAGAATTTGCAGGGAAGGGTTTCCATACTCGAGCCTCATACCGTCGGTAAGGCCCCCAAGCCCTGAACCATTCCAAGCTGAACAAGCTCCTGGCAGCCTTAAACACTGAACCCCTTAATTAATGGAACCCCAACATATAAGAATCCTGAAACAAAAAACCCTGAACCGTAGAACCCCTATAAAACCTGTAAGACGGTTTTTTCACAACAGCTTAGTGACAGGAGAAGAGCATTGCCTTCCCGCGGCTGATTCTGGATGGCTACGCGCCTTTCTTCGGCGTTCTGAGGCCCAGAGCCATAAAGTTTAGGGTTTGGGGTCGGTTTAGGGTTTAGGGACCCCTGAACCCCGAGACCCTTCGGCTCGGGATGTAAGGGCAGAGGGATGAAGGTTTAGGTTTGCTAGCTGTCCCGGGGCGAGGGAAGCCTGCCGCAAAAGGTTTGCCAGACTCGGAAGCTGTTTCGCTTGCGTAAGGTTCATATTCAGCTGATAGGGATCGGGTTATACGAGCTTCCTGCCACAACTTAAAGGCCCACAGTCCCCCAAGACGGGCCGTTACCCTACCTATAGCCCCACTTGTGGGTCCCCATGAACCTCCAAGAAGAGGAAGTTCTTCGACGAGTGCTGGACGAAGCTCGGGCCCGATGGCCTGTCAGATCTCACCCCGAGGCCGGCGACTTCAGAAAGCTTCCAGGTTTGTGGGGTTTGCAAATGAGAGAGATCCAGAATCAGAACATGGTTAGGGGTTGAAGGGGCCGTAGGGTGAGATTCTAAGGCAGCGTGGCTTCGGTGGTAGTCAGTCCAGTTTGTGAACCCTCATCGTATAGTGACCGGTCATCTCCGGTGCAGCCCGAAGGGAGCCGAGTTTAAGCTGAAAACCCCCGCAGTTGGCTTGAGATGCCGCGCAGGCTGGCGCACGCCTTCGCACATGCCTTCGATTTGCAGGACCCTCCAGCGATATTGGAGTTGCAGAAAAGGGGACCCCAATGGAGAGCCTCAAAAGTAAGGTCTTCAAGATTCGGAGCACGCAAACACAGCCGAACAGTGTTCAACACTTGTTGTAACAGCCTTCTGGAGCCCACTGACTGCGGAACCCTCGTGGGTGGCGCAACAGAGGGAGAGACAGAAGAAAAACATAGCCATACTGCAGCGTCAATGCCAAGATTCCTGTAAGAGCCTCAATCAGGTTTCCGTTCTGCACTGACTGCACGTGCTGCATAGCCTGCGGTTTAGGGTAGGGTTTGCGAGCTTGGGAGTAATGGCAGGTCGTCATCGCTGCTGTAGTTTCAAGCGCTTACGACAACATCAGGAACACACTTCTCACTTTGTAAGACCATCGCCAGCAGCCTTGCCTGGACTCGTTTGCTAAACCCGGGTTTCCAAATGCCGTGCAGGCCGTAGAGCAGAGTTGTCATCAGCCGCGCGGGAGGTAGACGTAATCCGTAGTAGAACCCTAAACCCCCACCCCCTGAACTCCAGATCTTCCCCTGCCAGAAGAAGTCTATGTGCGCCCGAAACCTGCGCGTTGGGTTGTTCGACTCAGGACCCTATGGAGACACTGTCAAGGTTCTACAAGGCCAAGGGGGAGTGAGGGATTTTGGTTTTGAGGCTTGACGATCACTCGACCCCCGCCTCATTCTTTTAGGGCTGTATTGTTGCTCCAATGCTGCTCCATGGCCTTGCAGTCAACAGCACCGGTCCCTCAGTCCTGACTTACATAGCCGAGAGCTTCAGGGCTGCCAGTCGGGTGAACATTAACCTGCTCACAGCTTAGAACTGCGTTCTCACTACCTTTATACTTTAGATCACCCTCGCACTAGCTTTATACTATGATAGTAGCTCTTATAGTAACCCTTGTGCTTGAAGCGGGTCCTCAGCATGGGAGCTTTGCTCTCGGGGGCAGGTGACACTGGCTGCCACGGGTTCCATCACACGGCTCCATGCTGCTCGGCCTCGTTGTAAAGGCCCTGGAGGTAAAAAAACTCGAGACTTTTATTTGGTTTTCTGTCTGTGTCTCTATTGCTCTCCCTTTGTCTACCCTTCTCGTCCAAAGGTAGAGAACGCTGGTGCTCATCTCTGGTTCAACCAGATCGAAGGAAGACGAGTGCTGCTTGGTCCAGGCTTGGCCATGTTCTGCAGAGAGAGGAACCTCAGTTGAGATCACACTTTGGTGAATGTGCAGGGCTGCCGAGAAGTGCTGCAGGCCCCAATCACTACTGGCAGCAACTCCGAAGACAAACGACACACCCGAGAATTGTGGAAAAGCCGTGTGTAGCCGAAATGTGGTCATTTGAGACTTCTCAGATGCCATCTGAGGTTCTTCTTGTTTCCTCCATCCGAGTCCCGAAAGCTCTACGAAGAGACGGGAGGGCCCATGCAGGCCGGGACTGTGGCAGCTTCGCAACCTCCAGCTGCCCTGAAATCAAACCCTTAGTAATTTATAGTACCCTACACAGTCGGACCTCCATCAGGACCCCAAAAGAAGGTCCCCTAGTAGACCAGCTCTAACAGAAACCCCTGGTTGGAAGTTGAGAAACGGGGGGGTTTTGGAGACACGGCGTTTCTTACCTTTGGTTAGTAGCGAATGGAGGAATGGGGTACAATTCTAACTACTATTACTACCATTCTTCCATTCCCTACTAACCAAAGGTAAGTTTTGGAATGCCTGCAGGAGACGAGTGGCTTTGCAACGCGCATCAGCGGGGCAGTTTTGGCTGCATCTGGAGAAGTGGTCGGTATGCGGGGGAGGGTGGAGGTGTAGAGGTCCCTGATGCCTCTTTGCTCACTTAGGTGCAGGAAGCAGGTAGTTCTGATGGATGACGCCATGACTTCGATTTCCAAGGCTTTTCATTGATGATCCACGAATTGCTAGATTGCACGTAGCTATTTTCACCTGTTGCATCACTTGTCGTCGTTTGGGAGCATAGTAGCACAAGGTGCGTAGTGACCGATTGTTTGGTACTATAGCAGTTACAACTCCAGCAGCAACAAAGAAGGGAACAAGTAGATCATACTCGTCTGGCCCGTCTCTGAGGTCGACTTGTTCGCGCCCAGTGCCAAGCGCCACCCGCTCTTTGCCGAGGCGAGCTGTCAGGCCCGGTCCATGGATTGTGGGAGGTGGAACCACCCAATATCGGTTCCTGACAATGAGATGATGATACAAGTCCTTCAGAGGTGGGCTTTTTAGGGGTTGAGGTAGAGGCTGGGGCTCAGGGTTTAGAGAGGTTGGGGTTTAAGTCAGGGCTTACGGTTTGGAGTCATTGTGGTGGCTCTGAAACAATACCAAAAGCGCATCGAAATAAAGATGACACAACACTGGCATTTTGGGCTCCCCTCGAAGTTGCTGGGGGCCAAGGAGGATTTGAACTCAGAAATCTAGAGTCTAGAGACTCCAGTCTACCTTGGCACAGGCTCCCCTGCTGAGGATTCCTGCTATGCTTTGACACTTTTGCATGAGCATGTCATGGAGGCACATGCAATCGCAAAGCAGTGCTTCGTCGCCTCTAAACTACTCGCCGAGAAGTTCTGCTGCGAGTTTCGAGTTTTCTATACTACGAATCCCTAAGCCGGCAATGCAGGGGCCGGAGCAAGCAGTACGACTCTTCCTCAAGGCCCCTTATTGCAGTTAGAGTATACGTACTATACCCCAAAACTCCAATGAAATACTTAAAGCCCCTGAATTACCCAGCAATGTCGAGGTCGCTGTGCTATACCTCGGCCAAACTCTTGCTTCTTGGCTGCGTGTCTTCGGTGCTCCAGGGAGCTCCGACACTATACCCATGCTGGCATGTCCTGTAGCTGGTTCATAGTATGTTTAATGACAGTTTTGAAAGACCTAATATCCAGTACAGTAGCAGGCCAGTCCTCACAGTAGTGCTGCCGAAAGCCACGTGGCACCTGAAACCTGGCTCGCGTGTGACAGACTCGCATGTGCTTTGAGAGTTTGTGAGCATAGAGCAACTAAGAGACCCTTGACCCGTTGATCAGCCCCCGCAGAATTACCTCACGAACTTCAAACAGCCCTAAACCCTAGCTTACAACAGATCCCGATTCGGAATGAGTGGCCGGCCGGCCAGGTAATCCCCTCGGGATGGTGGTGGTACTCTGTTACCCTGGACCCATCCGTCACGCTCCGCGTCTCAAGGAAGGAGCTGCCTGCTTTGTGTGCTTTGACTTACCTTTGGTTAGTAGGGAATGGAGGAATGGGGTGCAATTATAGCTACTATTACTACCATTCTTCCATTCCCTACTAACCAAAGGCAAAGTTGAGCTGGTTCGCTGAAACTTCCTTGCTCGGCTGGCTTTCAAGTGCCTTCCCAGTTTGAACAGAGATAAATCGCGCTGAGCCGTTCTGGGCGCCCGACCCTGTGTTGTTGGGGTCGGACCAATTTGGAATATTGTCCATTTATAGTCTCTCCATAGTCATACTACAATACAACTGCAAACCCTTATTCGAATCACTGAAGGAGAGGCTGACTTTTGCGCTCAGCCCCGAGGCTTTGGCATCAGTTCTGGACCGACGAGAACAAGAGCCAGTTCCCTGAAGTTGCTTGGGAGTACTTCAACTACCAGCTTCCTGGCTCTCGAAAATTAACAGCGCACCAGATGCCCAAACGAGACTCTAATGGGAGAGGGTCCCCCAAACTCAAAGTCCTATGTCCGAGACGTGGAGGATCAGGGGTTTGATGTACGTTTGGGCTGCCTCACTGAACCACTCTGAGCCCCTCATACGTTAAGCAAAGATTTAGAAGAGTTTAGAGCCTATAATCAACTGTAATTAGAAGTGACTCCTCTTGTCGTCCATGGCCCCAATACTGCCGTGGAAGTCGCGAGAATTCCTAATGGCCGCTCTGCATTGAAACGAAAACGACACTCCAGACCCTATTCAAAATATTCAGGGCCCTGTGACAACCTTCATCATGTCTAGTGGCCTATATGTTAACACAAGATATAGTGTACTATTCTGCATATTATCTACGACATATCTTATATATATATATATATATATATGTATGTATGTATGTATGTATACACATGTATATGATTTGTTCATGTGTTTGTTGGTTTATATTCTATATATAGCCCATATTGCATGCGTACTCAGGAAGATGACCCCGGAGTTCTGGGCTGCGCTGCCTCGGAAGATCGAACGTCTTCGCGCAACTCGGGAGCAGAAAGCCTGAGAGGAAACCCTGCTTAATATAGGGGCCTTCATAATTATTAGAACAAGGTTTGGGAGCCATTAAACTATATTTAGAATAAGGAACACCCAGAATGGTATAGGAAATTATTTAGGCCCCTGTATTAGGTTCCCTACTTGGGCGTGGGGTTTGGGCACCAACTCGAACGAGCTGTTGGCTTCTGTTTCGACGTGAGGTTCGAAGCGTCTTGAAGAGTGCCGGTGTAATTCAGCGGGAGGCTACGGTTTGTGTCTCGGAATTTTGGCGCATGGCCTTGCTTTCGCGAGTCGTTACGTACTGTCGCAACCCTGGCCTGGCAGAGAAAGGAAAGACACCATTGCACACAGGCGAGTATGCTTAGTCTTGCGTCAGACTTCAGATTCAGAGATGTAAAGCAGCTAAAGCCGAATGCTTCTGTACCAGCGTCATATTTCTCAGGGACGGGCACACTGGCAGAAAAAAATTATCTCCTGATTGCGACAGTGGCGCCCGGTTGTCAGCTGAGGAGAAGCTCGCGGAAGAGGAGTAGAAAGTGACATCGAGTGCTCATCGCAAGTGTCAAAATGCTCCGTCTGCAAGGACCATCTACGCAGTTGAGGACGTCTTAAATGGACGGCCGACACCAGCATAACTGGCACTTGCGTGGGCATAGCCGGCAGAGCTCCATGTCACAAACCAACTGTTTAACTCTCTGAGCCCAACTTGAACTCCCAAAGTGTCAAGTATGATCTTTCTCTAAACATCCGAACGAACAGTTGTACTCGAAGCATCTACACTGGAACTGAATTCAAGCGTTGGGCGCAGAGCCTCGTGCGTTAGAAGTTGGGAGACGAAGGCGTCCAACCCGTAACAGCGGCATGCGGAAAAAGACGCCGTCGACGAACCAAAATCTCGAAGGTCGAGCTTTGATGCGCCCAGGCACCGATACAGTTAGCTCCCGACCGAAAGAATCAGGCAGCCCTGTGGCCTGTGGAGTCGATCTGACCTTGAGCCACTGATGGCTGCACATACTGACAGCTCGACAGCACCCGGCATCGCCAGGTATCGAGCTTCGGTGATGGCCCTTTCATCTGTTGACCACCAGATGAAGGCGCATCTGCTCCCACTTTGCAATGCACTTTGGTTTGCACATCTGTGCGTTCTCGTGCAGAAACCCCATCTATACCTCTTGCCGTTGTAGAACGCGAATGAGAAAACTGGATTTGGGTCTGCCTGCAGAATTCGTGCCAGTGCTTCGGGGTTCAAAAAGACAGTTGAACCCTCAGCCCCCTTCATCGCGGAGCCCAATTTGCCGTTAAACCGTAGAACATCCTCAATATGAGTGCAAGTCGACTGCTTCATTGAGGGCATTGGGCTCTTTGGGCTGTGCACCCCTACTTGGAGGCGGAGGGGACTTAGTAAAGAAGGAGGTGAGTAAACTTATAAGTATCCGCTGGGGCCATCCTGGCTATGACCTGAATGTTTAACCTACTTAGCAAGTTCGCTGATTGCGCTCGTCTGTACTATTCCGTTATAGTCTAGTCACCATAAGCTGTACGCCAAATACCAGCTATGTAAGTAGAGCTCGTGGCCTTCGGTCACCAGGCACAGAAAGAGGTTTTGGTGCCGATACTCTGGCCGGGCCCCTCAGATGCTTCTCACCTCGACAGGCGGGCTGCTCCGGCCTTTGCTCCTGCTACTCCTTGCTACTGCTGCTTCTACTGCTACTGCTACTGCTACTGCTACTACTACTACTACTACTACTAACACTAACACTACTGACAGCTGGCTTGCCATGTGGGTGACAAAACTTCCTGACACCACGAATCCTAATACTAATACCAGTACTAATGCCAACACATACTCTGCTGTTGCTGCTGCTTCTGCCGCTGCTGCTGCTGCTGCTGCTGCTGCTGCTGCTGCTACTATTGCTACGGCGACGATCAGCCCACCACTACTACCTACTATTACCTGCCTCTGCTGCGACTGCTACAACACCCATCCGCCCACCAGCTTACTCCCATCGACCTACTGCTAGCTGAACTGCATGAGCACTTTCTCGTGTAGACTGCCGAAACAAAGAAGGTGTACACCTATGTACAAAGCCAACGAAGTTTGCACAAAGCACATTCGAACTGCTCGCTCTGAGGGCAGCATGGAAAGATCTGGTGGCAGAGCGCCGGCGGGTGGGGCGCATGCGGCAGACAAGTGTGTCCATATTGACCTTTCCATATTCTAATGCTCAAATAATTCCAATATCTTCAGCAGGAATGTAAGACCCTGTTGCAGGATATCAGGTGTTTTTGTAATTTCTGAATGCGTCAATGCTTGGGGGCTGGGTGGTACGAGAAGCGCCTAGACGAATTAGACAAGGTTGTCTCCGGATCTAGGATATCGTTTGCTAGACACCTTTAGAAGATGCAATGGCAAGAGGTCAGGCAACGTCTGCGCGAGAAACTACATGCAGTGCAATGTGAATATGGGCTCCAAAGGCCTACGCATGGCCTACGCATGTCCGAACTCCTTTTGTAATTACACACCGGGACGCCAGGGGAATTCTCAAAAATCAGAGTATCAGAGCTTGTTGTGCTGGGCCATTACTTTAAGAAGCTTCGACAAGGGAAAGCATCAACATCTTTGACAAGGCAGCCCTAATTCTTTGAATTCCAGCATATTCTTTAGGGCCCTGATACTGTGAACCCAAAGGCCCGGACCCTGCGGCTTCTCCTTTCACCCCTCCCGGACCAATGGACACATGCTTCGCCTAGAGATTCAGGGCCCGGGCGGCGAAAGCCTAACAAGCTTAGACCACTTGCGATGTACGATTTCGTAGGCCCCCTCATACATCCCCTAAACCCTAAACCCTGCAATGCGGGCCTCGTCCTTGCTAAGTAGGAGGGGAAAAAGCCATGTTTCACGAGGACGAGACCATGGACATCTCCCGGCGCGCGGTCGAGGACGATGCTCGAAAGGCCCAGCAGGAGGCGCTCCGGGAGCTCCGAAAATCCGACCCGGAGAGTCCAATTCAGAGATCTTGTCAGCAAGGGCTGCGGCTTTTGGCTTCCGTGTGTGGGTTGTGTAGGCTTCTGCAGGTAAGATGGGGTCCTCATGATGTAGAAATGTATGGGGCTCGCTCGGGATGCGATTTGCGGTGCTATGCAAGCTTGGCCGAAGCTGTGCGAGAGTCAAGTGCTTTGCCTCGAGGACAAGACGCTTGCACAAGAGGCTCGGGAGCTCAGGGGTTCAGGGCAATAAGCAGCGGCAGCAGAAATACAGACCTAAGAAGGTTGGCGATGTTTCAGCTTGAGTTCCTTGAAGCTGCAGGCAGCAAAGCTTCGAGAGACTTATCGACATTCCCAGCAGCAGCGGCAGGCTGGATGCCTTTGTGTGCTAGCAAGCCCTCCTGCATCCTGCAGTGACGCGTCTGAGGCGGTGTTTTTGTGGTCCATTGAGCGTCGGGATCAGTCCATGCTGCTGAGAGCCGGCAGCTCAGCCCAGGGTTTCGGCACGCTCACATCTTCTTCCCGCCCCCACAGCGAGATACATCTTCTGGCCTGGCAAGCTTGTTGATTGCAGACGGCATGGGCGACATGTGAAGCTTTTGCACTGCAAGAGACACGCAGAGTGAGAGGGTTCCGGACGAACAGGCTTTGTGCGTGCGTGATCACTGTTCCGTTTCTGGAGTGCTGCCTGCCACCCACCAATGGACCACCCCCTTCATTAAGTACTGGATCTTGTTCACTTTGGGGGGGTGACCCAAGTACATCGTTCAAGATATATTCCGCACTTAGGGAATGCAAATTTAGCTTTTCAACAACACTGTGGGAAAGGCTTCAAGCCACTACTCCAAACTTGAGCGATGTACCGGGCTGTCTCGGAAAGCAGAGAGAAGACTTGGTTAAGGATCACACAACAATGTCGAAGCCCTCACGAAGCAACCAAGTAGTCGCAAACAAGGCCTTCTTGAACTTCTGAAGTCCCAGCTTTTTAGATCAAGGGATAAGTTGTGTGTCGCTGAGTATCAATAAAGCCAGAGTACTGTGGTCAACCTGAGGTGGCTTGGAGTGCATGGCGCCACTTGCACTGCAAAAGATTGTCAACGGCGAGTGGCAATATTAGGGATGCAGCATCTACCCACTTCACTTTTCTTGAGGCAAGGATGGGTTCGCTGGATAGACTAACTAAAAGTTGACTAGCGTCTAAATGCGTATGGTAGTGATGGTAAGGTCATAATGATGGTAAGGTCATTAGGGTCTAGGGGGGTTGGGGTCTTGGGGGATTAGGAACGTCCGGTGCGGGGGATTTCGGGGGCTAGCGTGTTGGGGGGTTGAGGAATTTGACGGAACATGATGTCGATGATCCTGGTGATGTTGGTTGTCGCCAGAATTGTCATCTCAACCATGTCTTACATACCGTGATTGCTTGTGTGTTCTGGTTCGAGGAAAGCTTGAGCCCTGATTCAGGCGAGTGTCTCGACGATCGGAGGAAAACAGACTCTGGGCTGCACTTAGACCCTCAGTCACTGAGTGTTTGCGGGTTTTGTATAACACTACACGACGTCACGGGTTAGCATACTTTGAGTCACAGAATCGAGCACAAACATACCACCGCCGGCTGAGCAACTGTCGCGATGTCTGATTGCATCTGGACGCGTGTGGACGGAAGTGTGCAAGGCGTGAGAGGCGAGTTTGTTTTGCTTGTTTGTTTGCGGTGGGTGAGCAGTGGAGGTTGATGTAGAATCGACGAAGCTTGATAGGGCTGTATGCGGACTTGATATGGGCTGGCTCTGGAGTCCGTTCGCAGAGGGAGACTTTGACTGCAGCGGTCGGGTTCTTAAGGGGCTGATTCTCTGAACTTAGAGGCTTGAGCACGTACGGAATCATGAGTTCTGCTGTCGTGCTTAACCAAACCATTACATGTGGCTTCAGGCTCCTGGCAATGATATTCAGACATGACAAAGTTTGTGTGCGACATCGTCTACACAGATATCTTCTCGATTGAATTCGTAGTTCCTCGCTTTTAGTTCCGAACCAGGCTCAGAAAGAACACTGGACTACCCAAGTACGTCCAATAAGCGGCAAATTCCCCAGACGAGAACTTACTAAACAAGCTCCTTCTCGTTCTTTGCAAGTGAGCTGTTCCTTGTTCTCAGGAGGTGGAACACGTGCAGACCTTGAAACAGAGGCACCGCCGAATCCGGGGCTCGGTTGACGATCCCCTGCAGTTGCCCATGCGAGCGATGTCGCCAGTGCAAATCGGAGTTGTGTGGGTGCAATTCCAGGCTGCACGGCACGGACTTCGCGGCGAAGATCGCTGCAGTCGCGTCCGAGCAGACACCTACAGGGCCTACAGCTGGACCAACGGGTCCAGGCGCTTCGTTGTTGGCTGGCTGCTTTCCATGTGTGGGATACAAGCAAGACCTCAGAGGTGTCTTTCAGCATCTGTTTGGGCATGGAAACCCAGTCGTGTTTCTGGGCGGGAAATCATTGCTGTTACAGGCCCTGCTCTCGTGGCCCCCTGGACAGGGATTATCATTGCAATCAGAACTATTACTGTGTGGTTGGGCCATCTGCGGAATCTGAGCAGGTGGACAACACATCCCCATGGCAAGACAATCCGTAAGCCCCTGAGGCTTCGCTCGGAGCTAAACCCAAAAAGCAACAAACTCGAGACGAACGAATCCGTCCATCCGCAGGAGGTGATGTGGCTGTGCCAGTCAAACCTGGCTTGTGCGGCCGCCAGAAGCTCAGTTTACAGGCTATATTCTAGCGTAGTATAGTACACTGCTGGTAGCTGTTCCATTGGAACTCCTCCTGTTTTGGCATACCGCATCTTTCCCAATGACATTGGGTGCCTTCGCCCTTGTGCTCGGTGTTGCTAGTCGCGTTTGCACTTTCAAGTTACACAGCCAAGCGTTGCTACTGGGCGTCGCCGGGCGAAGTATCAGTACTACTATTCCCTGGGGTTCCTGTTGTAGTCGTGCATAGTATACTCCAGAATCCTATTCCAACTGGTAAGGCTCCTTTATTATCGTTTTTGGAAGCAACATAAGCCCAAAGAGCGGCACCAGACAACTCAATGACTCGAGGTTTCTTCCGCTTCTTCGTCGCGCCCAAGCAGCCGCCAAAGCAAAGCGGCTGTGAACTCAGAGTCCGACTGCGTGCCTCGCGAGCCCCTTCGAACATTGTATAGGAATAAGAATAGCAAGAAGATTAAGCACAATAGAACTATTGTTCCTTACGGTCGCCACAACAACAACATCATCATCAATAATGGCAGTGGTGGTGTAGCAGTACTACTATTTTACTATTTCTGAATATCCTTACTCATACTACTACCAAGAGACACTAAGAGTACGATGTTGAAATAAGAAGATTGATAGCAGCCGCTGTGGTAGTCCCAACAATAAACCCTCGAGGCCGCCCAGTTTGGACGCCAACCGCGATGGGCTCAGCCGAAGGGGCGAAGCTGCCAGCAGAGTGAAGCTGAGGCAACCCTAATACAGCGGCTTGATATTTACCAATACTGCCCAGTACACTGAAGAAGTCATCCAACAGCCGTGTAAAAGCACACTCCATGTGGGACATTGCCTTACAGCTGCAGTTAAAGCATCCAGACACAGGCTTGGGTTCGGGATTGAAGCCCCAGCTTTCGCTGCCTGAAACGAAGACGACCCTAAGACACCTGAAGAGAATCCTATCACGAATCGGAACTTCAAAATCTCACCGGAGCCCTATACGCCCTAAGTCAGATTACGGTCCTGTTTCGGCCTCTTGACGAGGCGGCGAAAGCCGCGTCCCCACCCGCAGGGCGCCAGCCTGTCCAGGTGTCTTGGCTGAGACGAAGTTGACGGATCAGGGGTTGCCACTTGGGGATTCTTGGGGCCAAGGTATGGGTTTGCCGTTTCGAACTGCTGTTCGCTACCTACTGCTGCCATCACCCGTCCGTATCAGTTTTTATACGCGATTGTAATTAGTCGTTTGTTCCCAGCAGTTGCTTTGATCATTGGGCTCCTGATGCCCTCACGGCAGGTTCCCGGCAGCGTCCCTGCAGCAGCGGAGAGGTTGGACGAAACATCGAAGATTCACCTTATGTAGAGTTGTTGCCATGCCACGTTCGATATGGCATCTCTTGGCAACTTCCTTACCTCATGCCCATGCAAAGCCGCTGCCTTCAATCTGCCTGGTCAGCTTGTGCTTGTCAAGCTTCGCAGCTGCGCCTGCAGCGCAGAATCTGCTTAAGCTCACGTGAGGCATGCTCCCCCGCCGACAGTAACGCAAGATGCGGCTGCCGCCGGCACGGCCCCAAGCGAAGCTGCGGAAGGGCCCTGCAGGCTTCAGGACCTGCCCGTTGGTACGAACATCCTGTTGCCACAAATCTGTCTACCTCAGAAAGGGAACGCCGACCACTCCGCAAAGGCGCAAGCTCCGCGACTGCACCTGCAGCGACGGATCCAGGCCGACCCTTCGCAGGGAATGGTGTTTAATGCGCGTGTGGTGGTTGCCGCCACTGCCTCTCCCGTAGCGGACCTGCAGCATCAGTCATACCATTCTGTGCGCCTGTGTTCATTATTATGCATGATGCATGTAGTTATGTATCTGTACATGTGTACATACCCATACGTACATACATGTATGTATGTGCCGTATGTGCATTTCTTTGTCTGACTGTTTGTGTTGAACTATCGGAACTCTGCAGCACCTCCTTGTATCAAATCTTCGGTTGACACAAACATTTTACAGCAGGGGGCGAGGTGTCGCTGTGGATTTGACATGTCACGGAGCTGCAAACCATGGATCGCCTGACGGGTGAAAGACCTCTTTCAGAGACTCCAATATCCCTGGTAAAACTTCCGCCGGTAAAGACTCTACTCTGGTTTGAGGTTTTTCTGTACGAGAAGGCTTTTTACGGTCCCTGCAAGTTTCAATCTTGTCTTACAGAGCTTCCTCTTTAGCTTTTGGATTCTGGAATTTTGCATCCAGGCCCAAGTGCTGGCCGGGAGACGCTGCCTGCCGGTGAGTTCCTTTCGCCAGGCGCAGAACTCCTGGTGAAGCTGATGAGGGGGTGTTGTTGACATGTGTGGTGTTGTACCGGTTTCCATATTAGTGTCCCGGTTTCTTTGGCTCCAAGAGTAGCGGTTTCATTTTCATCTCGCAGGCAAGGCCTTGAATCCTGTGCCTTCAGCTGGGACTGCGGAGCTTGGAACTCCACACAGGAGCCCACCATCCGGCCAACTGAATTTACGTTTGAAAAAAGTTTTGGCACTTGTGGAATCTGATGTAAGGGAGAGTTCCTTTTTGGGTTTCTGGGCATTCTACCGCCGGAAGTCCTCGACCCCAAGCCCAAGCATGAAAAACACACCTCAAGCCGCTTGCAGCAGACAGTGATACATGCAATCCCCTTGTGGAAAAGCCCTGCAGGTGCACCACCCCGTGAGCCGGCGACCCCCACAGCCAAGAGTGGACTGAGGCCGGACAAGGAAATCTGCTGTAGTGCTCCGGGTTTCTGGCGGACATCTGTACGCCTCAGCAAAATGTAGGACTCGGACTGAGGTTTTCTCGGCACCGAGGCGCACAGCCACGCCAAAAAAGCCTCGACTCGATCCCCCTTCCGCAAACCTTGAATCCTCAACACGCTGCCGAAGGTGATGGAAGGGGACTGGGCATGATTTTTTGGAACCCAGGCAAACCTCGCTTTGTAGTGATCGTCCTGGCCGTGCGAGAGGGTGAGAAGCAGCAAACTCTTCAGGATCATACAGTTCGGATAGAACCACGTAGGTTTCTCGTCGAGCCCTATAACAACCTCCAACGAAGTGGCTCGACTCGCTGGCAGAGGCGCTTCGAGGTGACGCCTGAAGCTGGCATTGCAGGGCTCTCGGCTGCCGCGGCTCTTGGTAGGTCTTGGTGCTTGGAGTTTTGGTGGTTTCCTCCGGGAAAACACTGCGAGGCCTGAGGTTTCGCGAACATTCTTGGGAAGCACTATTGCTGTTTTTCGTAGGATTCGCAGAAGCTGCTTTCACCCCCAGCACAACCAGCATGTGCAGCATACTTGTCGCTGCTTTTGGAAAGGCATCATGCAGTTCTGGGCCTCTGTGAATATGCGGTTAGAGACCACGCAAAACGACCAGCGCCCGCAAGATGAACCCTAAACTTCAAACTCGGCCAAAACCTGAACCCCAAGCAAACCTGAAGCCCCATTTTTGCTTGAGCAAGGCCGTACCACTCGACCCATGATCCTCGCATCCGATGCCCTTCCAGTGAAGGGCCAGCAGTGCCCTGAGTCACATTTCTTGTAGGTCTTAGCTCTCTGGATTTGGGGGCCGAGGTCTCGAAACCCTAAACCGAAGTTTCGGGCTAAAGGTTTCCATGTGGATGATTCGGTTATGAAATTATGGCGTGCAAGATCCGGAGAGCTCGCGCACTTGGAGGCTCGTGGGACTTTGGCAGTAGTAGGCAGAACTCTTAATCAGACTTGTCCGCGTATTTGGGTTTGTCCTACTTATAGCTCTTTTTGTGACCCTCGCACTACGTTTCGTGATCGTTTATAAAGACGTTTGAATAGACCAGCAAGACGCCAGTACTTTACTGGGGGCGTTTGGTCCAACGATAATGAAGCAAAGACCCACATGGACCCACAATGCACTGAGCGAACCTCCTTGGTTCGGTCTCTGTGTCAGGACTTCTGAAATGCGGCCTGTGGCTGTGCAACTTTCGCATTGGTTGTTACCGAAACTTCCAAGCAACACAGACAGGTGTGCAGCTGAAGTTGCCTCCGATGCATAGAAGCTTTCACTGATTCTGGGGCCAAAGAGTCTTCGGTTGCAGCACCGCATGCAGCTGAGGCCGCCCTGTCTTCGGTGCTCATTAGGGCTCGGGGGCCCAAAACCTGGGAGTTGTCGAAAGAATCGGTAGGATCCATGAGACCCCCACATGTTTCAGCTCGCACCGGTGGCGAAAGTCAAACTAGACGTAGCAAGACAATGCGACGAAGACTTTCGTGCTTGCCTACACGGGCCTCAATCAGAATAAACAGTAAAGATAATGCTTAGCATCTTTAGTTCGTTTGTAACATGAACCCCGCCGAACGCGCCCCTCGCCAAGGGCACTTTGGCGTATTCGTCTGACATTGGCTGCCGAACCGTTGCATGACTTGTTTAACGTCTTTGTAAAGTCAGACGAGGCAAGACCAAGCGTGATGCAAAAACAACCTCTTGCAACATCACCAGCCTTGCTGTCTCCTGCAAAAGCATTACTGCAGAGTAGAACTTCCCAATATTGCTGCCTGGCAAACTTCGTTGTCTCGTCGATTAGACATTGCATACCGTGTTTCTTGGTCCTTGGAATGCAAGCCCGAGACCCGAGACCTACACCCTAAAATCCCAGACCCGAAGCCGAGGCGTTGAGCGAGTTGTGCGAGTCGCAAACGATTGTTCCGCAGGTTGCAGAAGGCGAAGGCCGATGGGGTCCTTGGCTCGGCGTTGCGATATAAAGTGTAAAGTGTATCTATATATATAATATCATATTATATAGAGTATTCAGTACATATTATATTATGCAACTGTCGATGTCTTGTGTATATATATATATGCCAAGTTCGTCTACTAATATACCAACATACTGATATACTTATAAATGATTGAATAAAACAGTAATATAGTTCACATACTCGTATACTAATATGCGAACGTACGAATATACTGGTATGTCAATATACTAGTAAGCTAATACAGCAATATAGTAGTGTATTCATGCACCAGTTGTACTAACATGTAAAATATACTTGTATACAAGTATGCAAATATTTTACTGTTCGAATACATTGATGTATTGATATACTAATCTTCTGATATACGAGACTATCAATATACTAACATATAAAAAAACTAACTAGTTCTAATATTGATACTAATACTAGCACTTCTGCGAATATAAGCTGCTGTTAAACCCAGACTGATACTGATACTACTCGTAGCAGTGGTGCTGTATTACTGACATTGACACTGGCACTAGCGCTAACTTTAACACGAACATGAGCACTAACACTAATTTATAGTTGGCAGTATTGATATGTATACTTACAACAAACAATAGTACTAATATTAATAATAGTACTCACCCTAATACCGATACTACCACAAGACTATTACGTAACTCATGTGCCGCACGTCTGGTGCTATACCATGTACCTCATGTAAAGGTTTTGCTTCATAGAATATCGTCGCGCGCGGTGTTTTTTAGACCTGCGGTCTGTCAATGGGTAGCCGTATATGAGTATAGTCACATATTCGTATAGTATCTTCATACAACAACGACGAGAAGTATATTGTTACATTGGTATATGGGTATATGCCTATGCCAAAGCATTAATACATGAATGCACTGATGTATATATCTGTATCTTAAGATAGCGGTATGTATTTTATGTACATTAGTATATGCAGGTGTCTATTATTAACGATATTAGTTTTCATATCAATATGAATATACTATTGGTATTCGTAGGAGTATTAATGTCAATATTATTAGAATTAGGACTATTTATACTCGTATTAGCCATAATATGAGTGTTCATGCTGGTAATACAAGTGGCATTCTTGAATATTCAGCAGATTGTCAAAGTCCGTATTAGTGTTGGTGATAGCACTACTGTTAACGCACAACAGTTTACGTATTCGTATTCGTAGGAGTATCAATAGCTATGTAAATATTGATGTTAGTATAAATTCTGTGTTGAGTATCAGCAGTAGTGAAAGCGTTAGTACTATGATATTATTGATGATCTACATTCGCAAGAATGTTTGTATTATTATTACTCTTGATCACGTGAAGTTCTAATAGTTGAATACATGAGTGAGTTAAAGGGTTTGTATTTTAGTATAGTGGTATGCATATTTATGTACATGTACATACAGGTGTGTGTTAGTATTGGTATTAGTAAACACTGTTATCAAGATGAATATGATTATTGATATGCGTAGGAGTACTAATAGCAATACTAATCAATATTAGTATTTGTGTTATGCATATTCGTACTAAGCCTTATAGAAGTGTAATATTAGTAGTAATGCTGGTATTAGCTTGAGCATTCAACAAATGAT